TCTAAAACTATTTTACGAAGAGAATCAAATAATATACACACGATTCACGACCACGGCATTTCTTATGTCTTTAATAGGAAATAACTTGATCAAAAAGTCAACCTACAGTGTATTACATTTTGCGCGGATATTTATAGACGATATAATCATGTTTGCCAAAAATCTAGACGACCATTCTCAGAAATTCACTGAAATCTTTGATAGGCTGAGGCAATAAAACCTCAAGTTACAGCCCATCAAATGCGAATTTATCCGAAAAGAAACCTAGTACTCAGTTCATCTTATCACAGACCAAGGCGTAAAGCCTGACTTGAGGAATAACGAATGTGTTCAGAACTTTCCCACACCTAAAAACGTTAAAGAAATCAAGTTCTCTCTCGGATTACTCGGCTATTATCGGGGTTTTATCAAGAACTATGGAGATATTGCAAAATCATTAACAGCCCTCTTGAAAAAGGACGCCATTTTTATTTGGAGTGACATATGCGATGAATCTTTTCAGACTCTCAAGTGCGTACTTACACAGGCTCCAATCCTTTAGTATCCTTATTTTGAGAAACCTTTTGTCCTCGCTTGTGATGTTTGTAACTACGCTGTTGGTTGCATCTTATCTTAAGGTCCTATAGGAAAGGATTTATCTATTGCGTTCGCATCCAGAACATTAAATAAAGCGGAACAAAATTACAACACCACCGAAAAGAATTAACTAGTACTGTATGGGGTGTGAAACAATTTCGTCCGTACCTCTTTGGAAAGAAATTTATAATTGTCACACATCATCGCGCACTTACGTCGTTATTTAATCTCAAAGACCCTGAATCACGATTGATCAGATAGAGATTAAAACTAGAACAGTTTTAGTATACAGTGAAATACAAAAAAGGAACACAATATACCAATGCTGACGCATTAAGTAGGATTCATCAGGTAATTACTCGTTAATCTAGAAACTCCAGAACAATCACTTAATCAAGATACTCCAGAACAATCACTTATTCCAGAAACTCCAGAACAACCAGAAGAGCCTCCACATTCCGAAATCACTGAAAATATAGCAGAATCTCAATATCTACATGTGTCGTTACTCCATACTCCTTAAAACTACTGTGGAAATTAGTGAAAACCTATTCGATGCACCTTCAGACTATCATTTCACACTGTGTCCAAATATTTCAAATTGTCCAAAGAAATCGCTTTTGAATTTCGTCGAAAATATGGACAGTTATCTTCTTAAGAAAACAAGGAAAAAATATATTTGAAATCGCTTACCTCAAAAACACTCAAATCGGTTTGTTCTCTACATTTTGACGGGATTGTTTTTACGGCATTACAAAATCTCCAAATATTTTGTATCGAATATCAAATAGAAAAGTTAGCCTTACCTAAGATAAGATTTGCCTTAGATCGATTAGATTGGTTGAATGTCCGATCTATGATCAACTTTATTTTCAGATACTCTAATATTTAAATTCGTCATTACTCTCTGGACGAATATTCCACAGAAGAGAAACTTCAGATTATCCAAGAATATCACATAATGTTATTAGGTAATCATCAAGGCATATCACGAACCCTCAAACGCTTAAAGAAACATCACACATGGATCGGTATGAATCACGATGTAGCTGAGTTCATCCAAAAGTGTACCTCTTGCCAGAAAAACAAAATCATTAATAGTCATGTAAAGGCCCCGATGGTTATCACCACTAATTCCTTAAAGCCCTTTGAAAAAATTTTCACAGATGTCGTCGGTCCACTTCCTCGTACTCATCTCAACCACGCCTACATCCTAACTCTACAAGATGACCCGAAAAATTTTCCATGTTCAGTCGCCATAAATAAATAACATATTTATGCTGTATACTAACCCCTTAAAAAAATTATGTGGATTGCTAATACTAAACACTCATTCCATTTGCCTTCCATTATTATTTTTGTTGTTTCAGTTTTGACTTATTTATACTCTAATTTTTAATTTATGAATTTTATCGTTTATAATTGTATTTAACAGGAATGTGAGCTCTAACTCAACAGAGTATAACAAAAAGTCTTCCCCTAGATGTGTTGGAAACTGTTTCTTTTTTTTGCGTAGTTTAATACTTAATCTCTGAATTTTAAAATGAATTAAGATATATTGTGACTCTACAACATTAATGATTTACTCAAAAATTCTGCGAATTTGTGTACTTATAATAATTAGTAATAAAAACTTATTAGACAATTAGAATGGTTTTTTTGTTTTTTTTTAAATTTTAACTGTGAAGAAGAATTATTTTTTCTACTATTGCCACCCCCCAATACCAATTAGATGAAATTTGTAATTTATAGAGTTGCTATTCAAAGGAATTGGTCCAGTATTAAAAAGTTACAATGTATGCAGACAAAAAAAAAGCCCACATCAAAGTAAAACCAATAGAATCTCTGCTCCGCATCAAAGCTAAAAAAAATTATATCTAGACAATTGTGGTACAATATGGACCAGCCTACACTACTACTATTACTAAAATTACAATTTTTCTAAGTAACGTCAGTGTCGTTATGTACAAATGGTTATAATGTGTAGTAATCATTTTTGAAAAACATTTAAAAAAAATGTTTTCTAACATCACACAAATGTACAATGCTTTAGCATAATGTAATATAAGTTACATTTCATTATAATTATAGTATTTTCCCCATTAGATAGAAGCCTTTAACAATAAAAACATATGGAGATAGCAGTTTATTCTTGTAGGAATATCAGAGTTTACTAGCTTAAATGAGCTATTGCTCATTTACACAATGTATGTGAAATTGCAGGTAGCTCAATACAAGAGTGGAGATGGAGTAAAAATAAATGTTCAATAAAATCCAAAAACAAAGAAGCGGCAAAAAAAAAAAAAATGGTGCGTTGAAAACAAAAACAATCGGTACAGAGGCAACCGAAGCGGCAAGGCACAATAATCTTATACAGTCGGTAGTGGTGGTCATAGGTGGTGATGAGGAGGTAGAGTGGTAGTCTAAATAAAACTCAAACATACTGTTTGTGATTACTTAGGCTGTTGTTGTACACAAAAAATATTCATTATACACATTCGTCATAATATAAGTATTAGTCCAACATGTAAGTGTATCATACCTAGTTAACCATCCGGATTGTTCAGTTCTCAGTAAATCGTTCAAAGTTCGTAGGTACTCATGATTTAAATTTTTGAATAAAATATGCGTAATCGGGTTTACTATTAAATGTGGAATAATGTTATAAAACTGTTCTATAAATAATTTTCTAATAAATATACATAATCTTTTTTTTTACTTACTAAATGTGTTAGTTATCATGTTATTTAATTTTTGAAGGTTTCTCGATAAAAAAATTGTCATTGACTATATTTATTATATTATTATACATTTATTAGGTAAATAATATATGTTTGCATTAATTTTATTAAATTAGGTAAAATCTCAATAAATGAATTATAAAACGTGTTTTTTTTTAATACTTATCATTTCTTTAAAATGCTAAAACAATAGAGCTTTGAACTTATTGGCTTTATATGCGTAGCTAAAACTTATGTAACAAAAATAAATAATGCAGCATATAAAAAACAACCTCAAATATTTTTTTAACCACGTATGCCTTTTAACTAAGCAAGTAAACTAAAATGAAAAAAGGTTGTTTAATAATTTATAACAACATATTTAGCATATTAAACTAAAAAAAAATAACAGAATTGTTTACAACACCTGTGGCGATTTAAACAAGTAAAACATTTAAAATTTTTATGATGCAAACATACATTTTACGAAAGACTGCAAACACAATAAAGAAAAAGGAACTGATTATAAAATTCAATACATAACTATTTTAATATGTAATCATGTACACATATTTTTGCATGTTGAACATTTTATTTAGATATTATTGTTTCGGTTGATACGCAGTTTTATCGAAAAGTCGCAAGGATATCATTTTAAAACAGTTTAAAAACTGATATTTGCCTTGTACGTTCAATAATTTAAGGAACACTGTAAAACATCAAATATGGCAAGTACATTCAATAAACAATACCAATTTAAATAATCTTTAGTGTTTTTAGAATTTTTTTTTTATGTACAGCACTTTCAGATATACAACAAAAAACAAACAAATGAAAAATTTTTCACCTCATATACAAAAAAAAACTTGATGATATTTTCTAGGGTTTTACTGTACTTAAATGGTACTAAATCTTAAAATGTATTACGTATCTTTAATTTCAGTAAGACAACACACAAAAATTTGGAAATAACCTATTTATTAATCAATAAGTTATTTCGTGCTGTCATTCTATGCTTATAGGAACGGCATTATTTTTGTGTTTTCCTGGATGTAATTTTTTTTTTAAGTTGGCCATTTGAAATATTTTTTTAAGAGATCATCGTGATTTTATGACATGAAAGTTTTGTTCCAGTGTTAAAAAATATTTAGGTATAGACTCAATAAACCAAAAAACTTTACACAGATATAAAACCAAACTGGTATTTAGATATAGTTGTCTCACTTGTAATTCTGTTTTCTATCATCTATTCCCAAATCTTCGTACTAAGTCATTCATTTTATTACTCTATAGTTTCTAGATTTTTGTAAAATCTACCCTGCCTTTTAATTTAGTTACCACATAACTCCCTCTATTCTACTGGCATTTCCCTTCTACTAGTGTATAATTAAAAATGTATATGCATACATCCCTAACATTTTCCTGCACCACTAGTATTACAGCTTTTTTTGATGTTCATTGCTCTCACAGGACACCACATTTTCTTGTCATTAACTAAACCTATCAGACCTTCGCCCCACGAAACATTTAAATATTACACATGTATGCTCATCATTAAAGAGAACACAAAAAAAATTAAAATGTAAAACACATCATAATACTCTTAATAAAAAAACCTTTATATCTCCGCATTGGAGCTACATAAACTTTAATTGGCAACAGTGTCTAAAATAAAATATTTGTATGCTTTTCATTGTTTTGCAGATGAAAACGGTATGTTACTGTTTTATTTTATCACTCACACTTGTCAGTTTTTTTTTATTTGCTGCAGGTAATTATTTCTTTTTTACACGTGCCTCCTAATACCTTTGATTGGATAAATAATAATCATACAAAAAAAAACCAAATCAATATTTTTTTTCAGTTGACTGTTCTGTTTTTCCTGATCCTTATACGAAGGAGGTTAGACTTAATAGTCAGTAACAATTATCTCCATACAACATTTAATTTTAATGTTAACATACATATTTTTATACTTGTGTTAATGATTAATTACAGACTTTGCCTTCGAAAATTGTCAAGGAAGTATGATTTGTATAATGTATAAAACTATCTTGTTATGTTCCCCCGAATATTAAATACATTGTTAACTAAAAATTACAATTTCTGAACTAAACCTGAAAGTTTATAGTAATAAAAGAAACAATTTTCCTAATTGACATAAAGAAAATTAAGGTTGGAAGGTTAAATCACTTCCTTGGATAATATGCAGTGACTATTTAACCTTATAGAGATATAAGCATTTAAAAAGCATTATGTATTATGTATTTTGTTATAGCTCAAACAATTATTTGTTGATTCTAGAAATTATGGCTGATTTAATTAGAAAATTTGTTTGTAAAGAAGTACCGATGGGTAATCAAAGTTATTATAAAAATATAAAGAAAATAAAGATGAACTTGCTTCGTTTAAGAATAAAATATTTAAAAGTGATTTAAGAATTTTAAGAGAATTTTGTTTTTATGTAAATTTTTCTGTGTTGTAAATCATAAATTATACTCAACAATCGAAATGGATCTTTATGATAAACAACACAGATGTTTTCTAATTCAACCTATACTCACCATTATATTTTGTTCTACTTGGTACATTTACTTGAATTCGGTTATTTTAGTATCATAGTGTCCACTCAATTCAATATACCTAATAAAGGAACATGTGTTTTCCACCTCCATCTTCTAATGTATAATAGGATAGAAATTAAAAACCTATTTTATTTAATAATCCATATTTTACTATACTTTCAGAAGATATATCTTATATATTTGCTGTACCAGGTAACATTATTTCCTACATTTTATAGACGTATTTTCACATTCCTTAAGTGTATAATACTTTCTTTTTAATTTCAGAAAAAGCAAACCGACTGTCACAGTGTAATCGCCTTTATATATTTCATATTTATATTAAATATCATACTTTGAGTCATATACATATATACCATAAATAATCATTTATTTATATTCTATTTTATTTTTAATTTAAGATTGCATAGATCGAGAGACTGCAACTCGACAACAGTTATCGTCTCTCATGAGTAAATATTCAATATTGTTAATATTAACAAGTTACAATTAAAAATGATAAATATTGTATAAATTAGGTAGTGAAGAATTTATTTTTTACTTCAAGTTTGGAATTATTATATTGTGACTGTCTCAAATAAAATTATGAATGTGCTTAAGTTTTCGTAGATTGTTATATCATTTTTTTATCGCACTGAAGATGGACTCTGCAATGAGTCTGAAACGTCGGCCTATAACTATTGACGTGGATATATCCGAAAATCATCCAAAACAAATTCAATTTATATCTATTATTTAAAAGCGGCTTCTAAATTTAGTTTTTAGTCGTTTAGTTAAATCCTCGCAATCCCAATTTTAAGTGACGGTTATAGATAAAACATAAAAAACCGGGTTTTATAAACCGTATTATTTTTCTTACAGCTATTCCTGTGCCTATATTTAACGAAGGTAACTTTTGTAATTAATTTTGTATTTGTTTAATAGGGCAAAATATTCCTTTTTTTTATACTTTCTTAAATTTTTGAGGAATTCCACAAAACATTTTTCTTTAAATGGGATATAAGGAAAACGTTCCATCCCATATAGATAGAACGTTTTTTATATTTGTTTTTGGTTTATTCACGATTGTCAACAATACATCCCAAACAAAACTAAATAATCCCAAAACTTTAAAATTTAAAATGACGTAAAATGATTATTGAAGGAAGCTGGATTTAGACCGACAAGATCTGTACATGTTAAGTGTATAGTTTGTCAAAAGAAAATGTTTAGATTTATTTAAATTATCATTAAAAGTTTTATAGACTTAAAGTAGAACTTAAGAAGCATTGAGTATCTTTATGATAATGTAGCATTTTTTATTTTATTAAATATACAACTTCATTAGTTTTCTTTGATATTTTATCGTAAAATAATAAAATATTGTGAATCTTATCTTTACAAACAAAAACTTGACTGATAAATCAACCAAATTTTGACTACTAATACAAATGTTAACTTGGTACAAGATTATTGAGTCGCAATACTTACCGTTAAAAAATTGAAAAAATACAGTTCTGTAAAATGTATTTACATTCCAAGTATCTACTTTATTTAAAATTTATATTTTCTTATTTGTTAACAATACGGTTATTTATTAGTTCCAGATATGACTTTATTGCCAGGTCTTGGAACTAAAAGAAGAGGCATAGTAAGAAATGCTATGCAGACTGTAATAAATGGATTTTCAGGTAAATATTTATGTTACATAAAATATAATTTATAAAAACTTTTTTTTTGTCATTATATATAATAACGCAATTTTTTTTTTTTCATTAAGTTTTAATTTTTTAAGAAATATTATATGTTATGTAATTTATTAAAAAAAAATTTTACAAATTAAATATTGCAATATTTTTTTTATATTTTTAAGAAGAAGAATCTATGGATAAAAATTTGTGTCGCTCATTAGGATTACTCAGAAGTGTACTAGACCCAGAATCATTTATAAATTCCTTTTTGATCGAAGTTGGCACATGTATCGTAATTTCAACTATAAAAGGCATTGTTAAAAGCAGCAAATACAAGTATGTTGGTGGTGTGATTCTTCAAGTTCAGATCAATGATACCAATCGAACAGAACCACTATCTTATGAGAAGGCGTGGTAATATAGACCAGTTACATCATACACAAAACGACATCGTACATTTTAATACTTTTTAGTATCATATTATAATACTTGAAATTATGTTTTAATACCGCACTTAAATACAACTAAAAAAAAAATATATGATGCACTACTTCATAATAAATAGTTTTGCTTACAAATTTAAACACATGATTTTTGAAAATTATTTTACCTGACTACCTATTATCTTTTCCAATATGCTGTTTCTTAAACCCTTCGTTAATGTGTTGGGGTTTATTAAACCCCACGTGATAAGACTTTGTGTGATACTAATAGTTATCAAACTAGATCAATATTTCTTTTCCATGGATTCCTTCTTTCTATGTTACTTTTTGATTAAAAACCGTTTTAGTTGATAAATAACTATGATAGGCTGACATTTTTGGGAGGGAGGTCTGGAACTTGGTCTTTTTTCACTGTTAGGTTTTTGTTGGTGATAATGACACTACAGGAAATAGCAAATTTTGAACCATCAACGGAAATAACACGTTTTGGAAAAATAATTGGAAATACCACGTTATGAATTATTAAAAATGGTCGTTGTATACTTCTAACATAGGAATTAATACATTTAGAGTTTAAGTTACAATGATTTCAATAGTTATTTATTTTAAAGTGTGAATATTACAGCAGCCGTGTAGTTGCTGAATTATTAAAGAAATATAGTATATATTTGGTTATTTACTATAAGTGACAATTACATTTATGAGGATGTCCAGTCATTGCAATAAATTTAATATATATATATATATATATATATATATATTTATTTATTTAGGTATTAATAGCTAAACATACATTTTTTTTTTTTTTTATTGACATTAATCACATTTACTCCAACTGCTACTTATATATTTGCGTGTGTGTGTGTGTTGTACTGCAGGTCAGTCGTCGAACGGTCCGTCATTATCTGTAGAGTACAATAGACACCAGCAATTAGATATTTAATTTTTTTTTTTCTGCTAACTGACTATTGCACTTACCCATAATATTATAAAAATACGACATCGTGGACGTTGGACCCGTTCTTCTTTCCCTTGTAGATCATTGTTAGATTAGAATCTATCGGTTTCTGTAGTTCTTCGTCGGTCATTCTGAATCTGGTTGGCAAGTATACGCGTATGGGTTGTGGATTATCGCCCAAGCGTAATTCTACGGCGGGCGTACGTGCATCGTGCTTTGTAACGACCGTTTCGAACCGTATCACTCTGTATGGGACGAAGGGTTGAATCTCCGTAATGTAACGTCTCTTCGATTCCAACACGAACTCGCTGCGGTCGTTTAGGAAATCTTTGGTGATTTGACTCATCTGTAAATGACAATATTGTTTGACTTAATACATCTAAGCTCTGGCTGTGCGCCCGGACTTACCTTGACCGTACGTGTGTGTATGTGCACAAATGATTGTTCACCGACTGTCTTGCAGTGATAACTGGTAACTGTTAAATGTTGGGTGGTGCACCCTTCCTTATATGCTGATGTTCGCCCGTCCCCACCATGTGTGTGTGTGTGTGTGTGATACCAGTAGTGATAACAGGATTGTGATACCAGTAGTGAAAACAGGATTGTGATAACAGAATCGTGATATGGCCGTATCGAATCCTGTGATCACGATCCTGTTATCACGACCCTGTTATCACGATCCTGTTATCACGCCCTGTTTTTACGACCCTGTTATCACGAACCTGTTATCACGACCCTGTTATCACGATCCTGTTATCACGATCCTGTAATAACAGGGCGTGATAACAGGTGCCGATACGGCCATAACATACTACTGAGGAGGTTTATGATCAGATAGAGGAAGAGAGTGTGGTTAGAGATAGATGACATGACAATACATTTCTAATGTTATGAGAAGAAACAATTGTGACAACTTAATTTTTTCCATATATATTTAGTAGAAGGAAACTGTCGTGGAAAATTTTCAATTAAATTTATTGCAATGACTGGACATCCTCATAAATGTAATTGTCACTTATAGTAAATAACCAAATATATACTATATTTCTTTAATAATTCAACAACTACACGGCTACTGTAATATAGCAATATTATCTTTAAAGATGTATGATGTATGTATGTATGTATGTATGACAAAATTGATACAACATCTGGGACAATCGTTTTCTTTATTTGTTTTTTTAGCAGTAGTTTATGGTTTTGAAATTAAACTTAAAGTAGACGGCAGCTGGTTTACGTTGTAAATGTTTTTTTGTATTTATTCTATTAAAATAATATTTTCACAGACAAAAATAATAAACACTAGGTCGTGAAGCGAAGAAAAACAATATATCTGTTTTAATGTTTTATTACATTTTTATGGGTCAGCTACTGTATAAACATAGTTCTTTTTCGTTTGAATTTGTAAATTAAAAAAAAAATATATGTTTAACATGTGTTTTAGCAAAAACTATGTAGGGGGTTTAAAGTTACAATTGGAATAGATAATTATTCTTGTTTATGAATATTACAGCAGCCTTGAAGTTGCTGAATTATTGAAAAAAATAGTAAATTTTGGGTTATATACTGAAAGGGTATATTATCATTATTAATAATTGTTTACCTTAGACTTCTTTACATATGTTCTTATTACTCAAGAAAATAATCGAAATTCAATTTGTCTGATCATATCCTTCTCCCCTCCCCAAAAAAGTATCAGTGTCATATTTATTCATATAATCTTCAATTTTCTTAAACTATTTTACGAAGAGAATCAAATCATATACACTCGAGTCACGACCATGGCATTTCTTATGTCCTTAATAGTAAATAACTTGATCAAAAAGTCAACCTATAGTGTATTACATTTTGTGCGGAAACCCCAATATAATAATATATCTATGGTAAAAATAACAAAACTACTAAAGTGGTGTGTATCATGAATGGGACTGAAATTAAAATCTCTGTAATAACCATCATTATGGATACTTTAACCGGAAATTGACAAATAACTCGGATATATTATTAGGAATAAATAACTGTAAGAAAACATGTATATATCGCATGCATAAAAACATGTATTCAATTTTGTGACTTGTGTTGTTTTTGAAATTACCGATTCAATTGAGTTGCGTTATTTACAAAAACATCAAAGCGTTAATCTAAAAGTGTTTTTATCCGAGAGGTCTAGTACAGCAGAATAAAGGCATAATGGAATTAAAGCAACGATGCGACGGAGAGGTCACAGGTCTACAGGAATTGTTATAAATCAAAGTGATAAAAGTGAATAAAATCACTTTCAATTTATTATTATTGTTTATTTGTAAATACAGCATCTCAATTGAATCGGTCATTACAACACCACCGAAAAAGAATTAACTAGTATTGTATGGGGTGTAAATGTTTTAATATACAATAGTTCTTGTTAATTTTAACAAAAAATACAAGTGTTGCTATTTAAAAATCAAAAGTTTCTGTAAAAAAACTAATTTGGGAGAAGGATAAAAACAAACAAAAATTGTGAAAAATTTGAATCACGTTGTACAAAAACAATGAAAAAAATTAAATAAAAATATTAATAAAAACCAGTGAGATATTGAGTGTTTCACGATAAGTTGATCACCCTGCATATAATTATTGAAACATCGAGTTTCTATCGTGCAAGAATTAAACTAGGTCAAACATTTAAATACAAAAACAACTCGTTTATGATAAAAAAAATAAGAAATAATACTACCTATACAAGAACTTACCATTTGTTTACATTACAACAGTAGCTGTAAAAAACAGCTTGGTTTTGATAAAAAAAAAAAAATACAACATTGAATTACAACTTACACGATAAATGATTTTACAAAAACACCTTGTAGTTATAATTGTAAAATATTTTTGATTTAGGAAAACATTCACTGTATGTCTCTATTTGACGTTTAACTTCCGTTATTCCCACCGATCGGGACTTGGACGGTTCAGTTTGGCATTTTTTGGCTTGTAGCTGGTTGCCGACATAAACGCTACCATACAAGTTGGTCCCAGAGAGAGGTGCAGGTGGCCATTTTTTCCCCTAGACAGTTGCCCGCCCTTGTACAAACCGCCTTCTTCTTCTGGTCGAGTCCGACTTTAAAATGCCAATAACAATAATTCTAATAATATAAAATTAAAATTAAACTAAATAAATATATATATAAAGAAACAGGTAAATAGGTACTTAAGTAATAAAATAAATAAATAATACATTTGGCCGTGTTCGCGTACGACGTTTTTCGTAGATTTGGTAATCTAGGTTTGGTATAATATGTTTGATATTGGTATTGTCTATCATTTTTTAAAAATATTATCAAATTGATTTTAAAAATTAAAAAGTATACAAAATAATATGTCGGTTTTAATTAATATGGATAATCGCTGTAACCACACGTGGCCGAGGTGGATTATTTAAACTTTATGGTAACCTGTGGTATCAAGTGGTTGATAACACGAATTTACCAATCAGGAAGCAACGTTTCACACGGTCATCATGAAATACGCGAACACGGTAGCAGTGGAATAGCGCCTTTAGAGTTTAAACGCTCAACTAGGTTATCGTTTTGTTGCAAATATTCTAAATTTTTTGCCATCTAACAAAATATCAATTTTGGTTAGCTATAATTTGCAGCAAAAGATTCAGATTTTGTCTGAAATAGTTAGGAAAATAAACATGTTAACTTAAACATTAAACACGCCTAATTAATTAAATGTACCTATCTCAGTGGATACAATGTAATTAACCACATTAAAATTATAATGACTTTCCTAACTTGTTTAAAAAAAAACTAAAATATCAATATTAACTTAATTCTATATTTTTCCCTTGTGTTAACAAACGGTCAAATCTGATAATTTTAATATTGTGTTCATTGTCGGTGATCGTTTTCACGAATTGATTTGTAAGTTTAAAATTGTGTACATAGCGCTTTGCTGAGATCACGCATTTTCTATTCCTCATACTACTATAATATTGAGTAAATGTAATATTTACTCTATTTGGTATTATGATTCAGAGTAATGTAAATATGTTAGTCAACAAAAAATGACAAATGTTGCTTATTTTAACGAATTCACATAAATAATTCTGCAAAATACATGTAGATTTTATTGTTTTGGTTGGAAAAATATCAGCAATTCGATAAGTCGTAAAAAAACCATTGAAGCAGCCAGTATAGTTATAATTGCAATTATTTGGTAAGTAATATATGAAATTGTATTCTTATATTTACTGGTTTTATATATTATCTAAATTTAGAATGTAATACATGTATACGAAATAATATTTTGAAATATAATTACTTTAAAAATCCCTTACAGACTATTTAAATGATATTTTTAAAAATGATTCGAATACATTTTTAAACGAAGAACTTTTATTTAAATAAATTGTTATCTAGATGATTATTTCGATAACTTTTATAAGAATGGAGCAAAACTCTGGTTATACCTACGCAGAGCATAGTACGTACCAAAGCATTTAGCGTTTATTTGAAAGTGATTTTTTCGTAGTGCGCCAGTGCAGTGAGGTCAAGGCATAAAAAGAACAAAGCAGTAGGGACGGAGAGGTCACAGGTCTACAGGAATTATTTTTAATAAAAGTGGTAAAATCACTATTAAATAAACGCTATTAACTTCACAAACGCTTTAATGCTAAACTTTAACGTAGTCGTTATTTACAAAAACAAACTGTTGGAACGGGATCTGGGACTGGGACTGGGAAACTTGAGTAAGAGGAGGACATAAATGGTTGGCAAGATTCTATTAAAGGTTTTCACATAGGTATTACATATTATATTTAAACAGCTTGCGTATGAGTCCGCAGCACCACGGGATACATTTTTATGTACCGGGTGATTGGTTAACTATGGACCACTCAATATCTTAGAAGATATTAGACTTTTTTAATTTTTTTTTTTTTATACTATTTAAGTAATAGGTGGGACAAATTTAATGAATTTTTCAAAATTTTAACACCATCCCTTATGCGTTAAAACCATATCAACTTTAGATTTTTAAATGGTAACCCCCAATTTTTTTTTGATGATCGTGTTTATTTTTTTTTAAATTTAATTTTAGGCGTAAAAACTATCTAAATCAGACAAGTACTTTTAAAGTTATGGCTTAGTACTACAATATTATAATATTAGCTTATATGAGATGCTTTTATAAGTTTTACAACTAAAGAAAAAAATCGTTTATCGCCGGATCTCAGGTTTCACAAAATAAGATTGATTAACGATACGGTTGTAGATTAAAGTTAATAGTTGACGGTCGTCGGTCACAATGAAAACGAACTAATAATAAATCTATAATAATATTATATGGGTAATGTCTTCTTATCTGTTTTTTCTGTAGTGTTCCTAGCGGTGCGGTGTACCTGTACGTATTGAATATTAGGCATTAGCTGCTGTTAACAAACAATATTATAAGCCCTAGTAAATAGTTTTTTTTTCAATTTCAACTATAGGTTACCGTGGTCTTATCACGGTGTTATATAAAGTGTACACCGTGGTTCTACCAAAACAATTCGTTACTAGCGTAGATTAATATCAACACAGAACAAATTATTATAAAAATACGACTACTTGAAAACTAATCAAAAAGTTCATTATTCTAATTTTTCAATTATTATGGTTATTTAGCGTCTTGGTTTTTACTTTAAATATTTAGCGTCTTGGTCTTAATATGTATTACTTGTACTGGTGTCTTAACAAGTCAAATTATTAATTCTATTAGTGAAAATATTTTAAAAAAAACTAATAAATAACATTGAATTTTTTGTTTTTTTAGTATAATATTGTATTACATACAGTTAATAGATAATATGTACAGAATATATACAGAAATAAACAAAAACTAAACTTAATATGTACAGAAACTATTTTAGCATTTTTGTTCGAACTGGTTTATGATAGGTACATAAGATGTCAAACGACATCTTTATAAGGCATCTATTGTGTTTATTAAAATGTTTAGATAACAAAAGATTCCATAAGAAATACGTTCATCCAATACTTGTGCACTAAAATAAATTTTCATTTTTATAATTTAAAGTTGTAACGCGTCAATTTTAACTATTTCTAGTTCAGTATTTTTAATTATTAAAAGCTGTATTTATTTATTAACTCTTTATTATATTACCACCTTAAGCCTATACTGTATATATTTCATAGTATTGACTATTCTTACTTATTTTAATGTGTTCATATGAACAGTAAAAGTATATTTCTTATTTAATAAATGGTTGTTTTTCTCGTTGTACGAGGTATAGGCAAAAATTTAGAGTGAATGATAAAGTACAATTTTTTTTGTTTTTGTACGGCTTTTTTAACAGTCATAAGCTTAAAATTCAATAATAATATTACTAACAAACATTTAAATACTATATTATGTTATGTTTATTATGATAATAGTAAAATAAAAAAAACAAGTAACAAGATAAATAATACGCTTATAAGATACGAATAAACATTTTTATTTGCTAAATCATATTAAAAAACTAAGACTAAATAAAATTAACATATCTATAATTAATTTGTAAATAATAGAGGTACAACATATTGCTGTATATAGTGATGTAGTTATAGGAAGTTACCTAGGGCGGTAAGGTTTGTTTGATGATTTCCCACTAGAAGAAATCCATCTCCATTTACATATTTAAGTTAAAAAATATTTATAAGTATATTCATTCAATTTACTTTTTTACACTTAATCCAATAGTTAACATTTTTTTTTTCTATTTTGTGTTTTATAATTTTATTTACTTTATTACTTATAAAAACTTAATCGTAAACCACTAGAAAATTGTCAATAAATTCTGTAATAGCTAATGCCAAAACTATGCCATCATGAAAATAATTTCAAGATTTGGATTAAGACAATAACATATTTTAGAAAAATTAACATTCTCAGCAGCATTTTAGATTAAATTAATATTAAATAAAGAATTCATCATTAATAATTAATAAATAATGTATAATAATTATAGATATGTTAAGTATATGTGTGTTTAAATACTTAGAGTTTAAAAACTTTATGTCACTTTTAAAATGATAAAGTACTTTTAAATTATTTTATTGAATTACATTTTTAGCTGAATAAATAAATATATATAGTTGTCTAATATTTGATTTGAACTTGTGAATCCATCTTATTCTTCTTACTGACTTAATGGAAAACCGTTATCTGCAATAGTGTGCCACAGTAACTAAAAAAAAAAATAATAATAATAATAAATTTTTAGTGATGAATTCATATAAGCAACAAATATCAGTATACACATATATTTTTTATAATTATACAAGTATGATAATTTTTAAGTTAAACGTTAATTTTTAAGTAACGCATTATAATTAAACATATTAAGTATGATAAACATAAGTAATCCAAAAAATGTATTATGTAAAAACATTTTATATGTTCATGAATAATAAAAAAAGATTAATTATATTTTTCTAATAAAAAAATGTACTTATACAATACACTTATATCAATAAATACATTATCTTACCTATTATTGATTCAGTAAACGATGATTGAAGATTCAATTTTTTCATAAAAAATGTAATATTTTTTCTTTGAATTCAGATACCAATATTTTAAAACACAAAACTACACATTTATAAGTTTCTCAGAACAAAGACATAATACTGAAAAAATAAAAGTTTTAATTAAAATATCATCAAGCATAATTCAAATTATAATAATATTTATTTTAAATAACATATTATTATTATAAGTACCTTTAATTTTGATATTTGATGTGCATACATTTTATAAGTAAGGTTTTAGGTTTTATAGACTTGTCACTTGAGCAAAACTCCATCTTGGTATTCACATTGATTATGGATATTTAATATCAATGTTATTATTTAAAACACAATAAATGTTGACAAGTTCATAGATCTAGACTCTAGTAAGTTATGATACTATATTATTATAATATACTATGAAATTAAGACGTACAAATCGCATAAATAAACAAAATGTGTCAAATTAACAAAACAAACAATTGCTAAATGCTGGAAAAATATACACAAGATATTGATAACAAATAAAACATACCTACTATTTTACAAAATAAATGTAAAAGTGTGTAGTGGTGGTATATTTGTCAGTCGATATAGCGGTTATCATTATTATTTACTATTGGTGAATTATTTACCTAAAGTAAATAGTGTTTGGTACGGTTATGACTTTTAAACGCTACAATAGCTATTGTCAAAGTTAATTGTCAATAAATAATAACAGAGAGCAGTCACATTAATATGTTAGCGTCTCCAAGATATTTAATTTATTTTTTACACTCCCTTTTAATTTTAAAACTGTGTAGCTCGTTAACTACTCAATCGATTTAGCTAGTTTTTACGCCTAAAATTAAATTTAAAAAAAAAAACACGATCATCAAAAAAAATTGGGGGTTACCATTTAAAAATCTAAAGTTGATATGGTTTTAACGCATAAGGGATGGTGTTAAAATTTTGAAAAATATATTAAATTTGTCCCACCTAATAACTATAATAGTACAAAAAAAAAAATAATTAAAAAAGTCTAATATCTTCTAAGATATTGAGTGGTCCATAGTTAACCAATCACCCGGTATATGAGGTGTCCAGTAAACAAGTTTCTGGCTAATATTTTAATGTTTTCATAATATCTGGCCCAAAACAATTCATAGAGAATTTAGCCCCTTAAATTATTGAATTTATTATTCATTACTATTTTAAACGTTGTGAATACAAGATATATGCCCCAACCCCCATTCCCAACCCCGACCCCAACCCTCATCTCTTACCCCCTATCTCTTACTCCCCATCTCTCACACCCTATCTCTATCCCCTATCTCTCACCCCCTATCTCTATCCCCTATCTCCTTCCCTTATCTCTTATCTCTCTTATCACATAAATCCGCTGTTATTTTTCTGATAATCGGTGTTATTGTCGGCTGACAGAGTCAATAAATATATTTAATAGCAAACAATTTTGCTATTAGTTTTCAAATCTCGAATGAATATTGATCGTTATAAAATCTTTACAATGTAATAAGTAACGAACCTATTTAATGAAACTTAAAAATTCAAATGACAATAATAAAATTTAATTTTTTAGTACACATATATAGAATTCAATATAAGTGTTCTCATTTGAAAAAGTGAAGTACATGATATTTTAATGTAGAATGGATAAAGTTAAAAATGTCTACGTTGTTGAAAAATATAGTAAAACTTATACGAAAAAGAATAGGAAAAAAATAATTTTTATAATGTTCATATTTTCCAAAAAAATTAGCGTATTACGTTATTTGGATCACTCTGTACAACCTGTTTTAATTTGAATTATTTTTTGCAGACAACAATGAAAGTTGTTTATGTGTTAATTTTCTGTACATCTTTATATGTTTTGGCAACTGATGGTATGTTTTTCGTTTTTACAAGTACCTTTTTTTAGACCTAAACCAAGTAGCTACTGGTTTAGATCTAAAAAAAAATAAATATTCAACTTTTTTACAGATACTTCAGACGATAGAAAGAAGCTTAAAGCTACAAGTCAGTACATATTTTGTTTACAAAATATTTTTTGAAATTTAAAGACATCTTTTATACATAATTTATTACAGACATACTCATTCAAGTACATATTGATGAAGGTAAGACATACTTAAAATTATTGATACTATAAATTGAATGGTTTTGTTGTACTTGCCTATCTCTATAAATAAATGTTTCAAATTATTGGCCTTTGTGTGTATTGTATTTTTAAAAAATTGTTTTTACCGGATAACTCCAGGAATTATCAATAGTGATGAAGTAGAGGTTTGATGAGGATAATAAGCTCAAATAATGCAAATTGTATTGAGAATATTTCTCAAAAGTGTCTCCCACACGAATAGCATAATTAAGTTATTAATGATCTAAAATAGATTTTATAGAATAATTGTGTAATAAAGTTCCAACAGGTTTTATCACTAGTTCAATGGGCTACGATTAACTCAATATGTACTTCTATTCAAAAATGTTTTGTATATATTATTTCGCATTCAAATTTCATTTGATTTTTTTTTAACTCAATCAATTATTTTTTTATTTCAGAGACCATTTGGGACAAAATCAAATATTTTGCTTGTCACAATAATTACTCAATGGGTAACTATTATTCTACAACAAAACCGAATATTTATGCTAATAGAAGAAATGTTTTGGAAATGATACAATAATCGCAAAACCAATTTTTCAATGCGTTTTTATGAGAGATTTAAACGTTAAATTTAAATCGTTTAATATCTATTTATAAATGTAACTTCCTTATTATGTTTAAACGTGTATTTTTAACCTTAACTTCCTCCTTTTAATTTATAATGAACATGAAATTAGGTCTTATATCGTTTAAAAATAATTGTTTGTAATCATAATTTCAGAGCAATTGACTTTTATATTTGCACTACCTGGTAATAATAGAAAATATTTCCATGTAGTTGTTGGTTATTCACAAGTATAAAATGTTTTCGTTTTAATTTCAGAACAAGATTATGATAATAACCCAATTACGCGTAATTCCTATTTCATATTAATAATACAATATACACGGCTTTTACATAAGTTTTTAAATTAAGAGAAAAATCATATACATATTAATTTTGCCATAACAATAGACATATGTAAAAATGCATTTTGTTTTTTTAATTTTAGAGCATAGATTTGAGCGTGAATTGCAAGTACAACTACTCATAGGCTCAGGTAATTATAAAATTCAACATATTTTTACAAACACTTTACAAAACTATTAATTTAATTTTAATTGTACTTAAATGCATTAGATTTGAAATCATAGTCATAAACTAAACATTTTTCACTTAGTGTGATCGTTAGATATCATTCCGTTAATTTCGTTTACTCAAATGTGGCTACTAGATATTATTCATTTTACAATTTAGAAGTTTTCTAAATTGAATCGATTATTTATGAAAGGAGATTAGTCTAAAAAGTTAAGCTTGGGGTAATTAAAAAAAACCGTGTTTCACATACAATTTTACTTAAAAATAATTATTAAAAATATTTTTAATTCTTTTGCGATATACTTATTTTAATTTGTGGATAACATTTTTTTAAATTTATTGACTAACCAACAGTATGAGTTTTAATTTGAGCATTAGTGCTAAATAATATTATTCCACGGTTCCGCAAAACTACCACAGTTTCTAAATGTTTTCATTTAGGTGCCTTATCCTTTTCCGTATAAATTCATATTTTAGTGCAGTGTGTCTGTGCAAGTTTAGCTTTGTGATATTGTATTTTTCTAAAAATGTTTAACGTAATACTAAGACATTTAAATTCGAAAAGGTTTTGAGGCTATATGCTTCATACAAATATCGTCCGCTCTTGGCGCTGAGCACTTTATAGCAAACTTAACGTATAGGGGGCTGCTGGTACTGTGGCCGGCAGCGACGAATGCGTTTTTGATAATCATCGGTATGGCACGTGTTTAGTAGTTGAAGTCTAAGCACACTATATGGTGGTGGCGACAATGTGTTTTATATTACCTTGGTACTCATTATTATTACTTAATCACTAAATCTTTATCTTTATGTTGATGACCCGAAATCATAACATGAATTTTCTACGTAAATTTTCGAATGACTCCTAGCCTAAATATGAAATCCGTGTTACTTAATTGGCCTATTTAGATTTAGTTTTATAGTTACGTATACGTAGATCTAAAATACTTATTTTCAATAATCGTACAATTATTTATTGCATATTTTGATGTTTTTGTTACAGGTTATAATGCCGATCGGGTTCATCAAATTGGTAATTACGCTTTATTCGAAATTGGTAAATAGCGCTTAAAATATAGATGGTCATTCGAAATTTATTTTAAGTCAATCCAGGTTTCCGTATCGTAATAAGAACGTTCAATTTACTGGCTGATAATAAACTAAACATAACATTATACAAATATTTTTTCAACCACTAAACGTTCATTTAAACGCAATATATATTAACGTTCAAAACCCGTTACCTCGAACTAAACGCAACAAAATTATACTTCATTGAACTTTTAAACTTCTACCGTAACATGTTTTAACTTTAAAAACCACTACCTCAAACTGAATCTTAAACGTTGATTTGAAAAATTTAGTGAACAAATTGTTTTTATACGTTCAGTTCAGTGTAACGGTTTTTGAAGTTAAAACGTATGACGTCATAGGTCTTCAAAAGCTGTAATACTGAACTGAACGTTTAAAAATGATTTGTTAATCAATTTTTTTTTACATAAAAGCTCAACAATAAAACGAATTACACCAAATGAATACAACTAAAGTTGCTATATAAAAAATATTTATTATTTTTTTCATAATGAAATAATTTTTAATGTAAATCATAACACATTTTTGTCCAAAAATATATTCGTTTAATATAACTAACACAAGATACAAGTATAATTATAAAAACTAATATCACCTATAATAATAATAGTTAATTTATTTTATAGATAAATATAGATGTAAAAATTGTCTTCACTTTGATCACTGTTACTAGCCTGATTACTATACAGAATTTGTCATTAAACAGTTGTTTTATTTAAATAACAAACTAGTCAAAAAAAATATTATTTGGTTTAAAAATAATAGACTTTGCGAATAACCATTTTTTTTAAAAAGACACCACGTAAACGTACAGTTCCAATTAAAACATATTTGAAGTTTTTTGAGTTTATTTAATGTGTGTTTCTTGAATAATGTATTTTGCAAAATTTCACGGTGTTTACTGAGGTTATAAAATTGCCTTATGAAAAACTCATTACAAAATGACTTATACTTTGTTTAACACATTTATTGCATTTTTCAGCTCATGATCTATTTAGTGTGAATGCTCTTGGAATGGATCGAAGGATAATGTTAAAACCAGTTTTAAGATTGTTAATAATCGATATTATAATACGTAAATAATAAACTAATAAAAAAACTAGTGATTACACGGAAAAAATTTATATTCGGACCAACAAACATTACAGTTAACACAATACATTTATAGTTGAAATAACTATATAAATAAATCGTACAACTAATTTTCTAGTTAAAGAATCTACAAACATAGTTTAACAAGTTTTTTAATTTTTATTCCACCATTACAGTTTTTTATAAAGTTATATCCGTACCTCAGAGCAAAAGTGTGTTAAAAAAAAATTTCAAGTTTCCGGTTTTTTGGTTCATATAGATTTAAATTGCACGCTCTATTAACTACCTTTATAATATATAAATGATATATAGTATTTATCTACCTTATATGCTTTTTGGGTTCTGGATGGGTCCATCTAAATTCATATATTTTAACTAGTTAGTTAGTTATTAGTTAATTAGAGGTTTAGAGGTGGACATTAAAAAAAAAAGGAGTGCTAAGGGTGTAAGTGAAAGTAATAGAGCAAATGTATGATGGGGCAAATACAAGAGTGTAGAGTTTGTGTAGAGAAATGGAAGGTTTTAGTGTAAAAGTAGGTGTGCGTCAAGGTTTAGCGTTGAGTCCTTACTTGTTCTCTTTAGTAATAGATGAGATTTCAAATGATATACAGGGGGGGGGGTGCCATTTTTTTTTTACATGTGAAACCGGAGACTAGTGTGGCACTGACCTAGATCACTTCACCCTTAACCCTTATCGTTTATTGTACCAAAAACATTACATGAACAAAAAGTACAATATTTGACATTAACAAATCATAATTACAACATTTTGGGGGCCTCTAACCACCCTAATATTTTAGCCTTCGACCTATAATAAATTTATAACAAAAAATGTACATCATTACAATATTACAATTTATCTTAATATTATTTCTTCTTCTTTTCCTCGATCTTCTTCTTTGCTTCACGGGGCGCCGCACAGTGGCCACTACTGGGGTAATGGTCAAAAGCCAAGGTCCGGTCCTTGCATACCACACAATGAGGCAGAGCCGTGCATTTGATGGTACGGTAATCCGCTCCACCGCATGATAAACAAAGGCCAGTCCTATTAGGCTTTTACACTTTCGCGTGTAGTGACCGTACCCGTGGCACTGGTAGCATCTTTCAAGACGAAGATGAAGGTTCACCCGACAGCGCACCAATCCATGGGGGCCTGAGTCAGGGGTATTATTTCCGTTTTCGTTTTGAGCCATGGTTAGTTTAAAGGGTGCCTTCCCTTTTGTGGTATGCCCGCCACCGGGTTGATGTGTATGGTGTATGCAGATGACGTAGTGTTAGTGGGGGAAAGTCCGAAAGAATTAAATAGTGGAGAGAAGCGCTTGAAAAGAAAGGAATGAAGATTAGCAGAAGTAAAACAGTGTTAATCGTGTTTAATTTCCGAGAAAGTTATAGGGCAAGACAGATAATACAGATGGGTGATGATGAAGTGTGTGAGGTTGATAAGTTTAGGAAGAAGAAGTTAGTAATTATTCATTTATTAATAAATCAATTTACTTTTCTCTCTCCTGTAAAATGTACATTTTGTGACTCAATACACTTTTTCTCTTGGGTGAGGATATAAGATTAACCTTAATTTTAGTTTGTCCAACTATGTATTTTTTTCAGTGTAGCAAGCTTAATTCGGCTAACTTTTAAAACTTTTTTTTAGACCCAGGGAGCCACGATGTTAATTTTAGCTCCACATGTCGAATCATAGGATTATTCATGAGTACAAAATTTCCAACATCATACACAAAAACAGCTGATGTTTTAACGGACAATACTTGTGTCATATGTCATGGAGAGACAGACATGAAGTCATACAAATACGTTGGAGCTTCCATACATGCTGTAGACAACGATAACCATGCGTTTGTAAAGGATAGCATAGTTCTTGAGTTAGGATAAATATTTTTTATACTCTCAGGTTTATTTTAATAAATAATACATAAATTATAAAGTTTTTCTGTTATTATATTTTTGAGTGCCACACTAATATGAAAATTATCAAATAGTTTAAACTACTGCATAATAAAAAGCCATTCCTCGCCATTATAAATTATTTTATTACTTTCAGTCATAATTTATATTGGCTTAATATACAGGTCATTTAGGTAAAAAAAAACATACTAGATTTAAAGTTAGAACTTTTACCGGCTTTAACTTCGAGAAAAGAGTCGGATCGAGTTGAAATTTATAAGGAATATTTAATTGGTATTCCCTCACAAGTTAATAGGCTCAAACTAAAATTATACTCATTTACCGGGGGTGCATGTTTTTTTGTTTTTTTTTGTCAAATAACATTATAGTGGTGTATGCCCGCCGCCGTGATTTCATGTGATACGTGCTTACAAATTTGCATCAAAACGTTTATTTGAAAGTGATTTTATCACTATTATTAATTATAATTCCTGTAGAACTTTGAGCTCCCCGTCCCTTCTATGCTTCGATTCTATTATTCCTCGATCCTACTGTCGTATAGGCACTTTCGTATACGAAAATGTTATAAACACACATTATAAATTAAGTTACTTAACACCTTTTACCTGACAACTAAGGTGGCTTTACAAAGTGGTGCATAAAATGTGGCACAGCTCTAGTCATCACTTTCGGATTGATTCTGCCTCGGGTGCTTTCCATCCAATGTCAGGCCTCCGATTATAAATAGGATAATACCTCGGGACAATTGTATTGTCTAGCTTTAGTGCTATAATAAATAGGTTAATAGCCTGAACGCAAGTACAGAATACTAGCAAGGAACCAAGAGCCGTAATTTGGCTTTCTCTAGAATTGCGGTCTTTATTGCAATACACTTATTAACAAGCTTGATTGTAATTTTTGCTTTGTTGACAATTTTGTTTAGTATTGTTTTGGCTGTTTGGCCTACATTTAATTGCTTTTTCGTTAATATATATTTGTCTTTAAGAACTAAACTACACTACTGTACTAGTTCTCTCGGATAAAATCTCTATCAAATAAACGCTTTGATGCTATATTGTAAATACTGCACCTCAATTTAATACTTTCTAACTCTGCTGGTTCATACTGTACTCGGTTTGGACTGTACTGGATTAAAAATATTAATTACTGATTCGCATCGAAGCGTTTATTCGAAAGTGATTTTATCACGTTCAGTTGTAATAACTCATGTAAACCTGTGACCTCTCCGTACCAACTATGCCCTAATCCCACTGTACAGGCTTTTTTAATCTTTGCTTATTATATTGTTGTCAAAAAGTACATTAAAAAAACTCTCAAGTACAATTAATAAACAATGTGCTAATTAAAAGACAATATATATATTAAAGAAAAAATATTTTATTATAAGTTTTCATACAAAATTCGTATTTACTATAATATTTTTAAAAATATAAAAAAAAAACTGTAGTGTTGATTTTTTTCCCGTAATAAAATAATAAAACAAGATATGGTCCAAAAACAAATCAACTCCCATAAAAAATGGTAAAACTATAGAAAATTTTTTTTGTAAAATTCAACAGCTCTTTTAACGTAAATCGTATGTCTTTTTACAGTATAGATATTTTAAGCAGAATAATAATACCCAAAGTATTGACTGTTGATAAATCTAGAATATTTTAATTCGCTGAACCGGTTTCTTCATGGCGCATTTCTAAAGATTAGAAATCGTACATGGAAGGTTCTATCTTGGGTAAAAAATTTAAAAAGTTTACCTCTTACACTAACCAAACACATATTTTAAACACTTCCCCATAGAAGTGTTGGAAACTTTTTCTTTATTACGTTTTTTTAAGCTTGAGTTCTGAAAATTAAACCTAAGGTAAACCTACAGGTTTACCTTTTGACTACAGTCAAACATTTTTATTTTTTAAAAACCCCCAAAAAAAGGAAAATTACACTTTGACCGTAGTCTTTTTCTACGTTGTAATGTGTGATTAAAATCAACAACCATCAAATTATCATAAAAATAATATGTATTTTAATTTATATATATTTTATAAATATTTTTTTTTTTTAAATAAAACTAGGTAATTTCTATTTATTATTTTAATTTTTTCAGTTTTTTTTTTGTTAGTTCACATATTAATATTTATTATAAGTAAACCAGTTTACATTTTATATATTATGGAGTCACACTAGATCTAAATTCATACACATTTTAAACTACTCTCAAAAAAGTAACAAAGGAACAACTTCCAACCCTATTAAGGAGAAGGATTTTTGGTATAATTGAGTTAAATCTGAGTGTCCTAATTAATCGCCTTTTATCGCCACGGGTAATTTTATTCCATATGATAGTGGAATATTAACTCAAGAAGTGTATTTATCTAAAAAAAATGGCTATTGACCAGTTTTATTACAATTTATTCTACAATTATGTATTATTAATGGTACATGCAGGTAAACCAATGGTAATAGATTATTATGTTATACGGTGAAATTTTTAAACTACAAAATAGAATATAAATTTGTATAAACTAAAACAACAAAAAGAATAATGGTAGCAGGGTTCAGTATTGGCGATCCGCATAATCTTTTTTTAGGGGTTGGTTGGCATCGTTAAAATATTATTTAAATAGGTTATCATAAGTTTGCTCAGGTTTTATCTGGCTTAAAATATTTTTTACGCGATATACCTTTTGGATATAATACTATGAATCATTAAAACATATTTTATTTTGCTTGCATAGTTTAAAACGTATACGCGTCTTACACAAAATTGTTTTTATTGCATTAGTTATTTTTGAAATATAGACCAAAGCTTAGGTATATTAGTTTTAATGGCTTTTGTATTATATCAGCCGTAAGTAACGATAAAGTATGTTTTATAAAAATATTGTTTTTTCTACGAATTGTAGTTGCAGCTGCAGTATGAATATTCGGTTTACTTATTAAATGTAGAATAATGTATTTAATTTGGTGAATACAAGGTTATTAAATAGATATTCTTCATATTTGTTTGCACATTTAATATATTAGTAATCCCAACAAGAACACTTCGTTAACTCAGTGTAAATGGTCGATAATAAAAAAAAAATAAGTCGTTCAACATAAGCCTTAAAATACCCGATATAATATAGGAACTATATAAATATCATAATGTAATATATATATTATATATCATTGCCAACAAATAAAAATCTGACTACATTCTAGTTTAGAATTTAGATTTACTAAGTTTTAGTAAATTTAGTTTACAACATAAAGAATAATGGAGGCAGGGTTGTCAAATAGTGTTGTCAAAAAGTACACTACAAAAGTAGTCAAGTACAAAATACACAGATAACCTAATTCATGGGCTAACTTTGTATCGCCATGTTGTACTTGTTTTTATCGTGTCTGTTTAATAAGAATTTACATTGTTAAAATGTACTAGATTCTTCTACTCTCCGTCCCTCTGCGCCCCGACCATACTGTACTAGTTTTTTTATTTCTTAATGCTAAATTTAGTTTGATTGTACGAAAATTGTGTAAAAATGCTATTTTCTTAATCACGATAAATTATAGAATGAAGACAAATAAAATTATTTTATTAAGATATTAGAAAATATGAGCACAAAAATAGAAAATGTGTTAATTAAAACACAAAAACATCATTGATTTCCAAAAAAAAAAAATTGTTAAACTATAAAAAATGTATTTGTAAAAAGGTTTATTCAAAACGTATAATAATGTATACAGGGTGATTCATTAAGGATTAGACACTCATTTTCTCGAAAAATATGATTATTTTAAGAATTTTTTACTACACTTTTCAATATTTAGAATAATTTTATCTTCAACTCGTATATGTAAAACAAGTAACGCATTTGGTTTTTTAAATGGGCACGTATGTTTTTAATTTCATAAATCTGTAGACACAATTTTAGCGTTTGAATTTCAGATTTTCATCAATCGTGAAAATACAAAGCTAAAATATCACAGCTCCCATTTATATTATAAAAATAATTATAATTGTACATTATTGGATATCGATAAAAGTAGGAATTACAAACTAATTCGAAATGTATATTATTATACAACTATTTGAATATTCAAATCTTTAAAAATAATATATATAACTTTTGAAACATCGAGATTCTACCGTGCAAGAAATATAATAGGTCAAACATTTAAATACAAAATCAACTGCGAAAAAAAAATGTTAAGAAAAACACCTAGTTTTCAATAAAAAAAATAAGTAATAAAACTATACGAGTTGTTTTTGTAAAATACGAAGACTCGTATAATATTCAAAGTTTGTGATACCTATTAAAACTTACCATTTGTTTACATTACAACAGTAGCTGTGAAAAACAGCTTGGTTTTGATAAAAAAACAATAATACAATATTGGATTACAATTCACACGATAAATGATTTTACAAAAACTCCTTGTAATAAGTTATAATTATAAAACATTTTTGATTTAGAAAAACACAGTACATTAACTATCTGTAAATTTTGAAAAATTGGTACTCGCCACAGTTATTATAACAATAACGTTATACAATGCATTCGAACAAAAGCATCAAAATCAATTTTTTTACAAAAAATAGCTCGTATTTTTATTAGGTTTACACTGCCTGATCGACGCAGATAACAATTTACCTTCATTAAAAAACACTACAGTAAAGCTGTACAAATTTTCTTGTAAAAATTAAAAATTCTTATTACATTAAAAGATTATACGTAAACCAAGTAAACAACTGCTCTAATTAATGTATCACTAGACGTTCTACGGTGAATGTAAAAAATGTTATATTTGAAATTTAAAATTTACTAGAAAAAAAAGTGAAGTACAAAATATTGAAATTATTTTGTTTTATCATTTGTGTACCTAAATGTTTATACCATTGATTTTCTCACATTTTAGAATTCTGAGATGTCACACTAATTAAAAATATATGTTTAAATTTTTTATTCATATTTAATATAAATAACAAACATAATACTACCACTTTTTCTTGGACATTTTGAAATAATAAACAAAACATTACAAATAAAATTATTACTCATTTAAGAAATATGTATTTCCTCAAACAGTAAGATAAGTGGGAACCGGTTATTATATTGTGTGTTGTAGTCACTATTCACAGTAACATAGTCCAAAATAACCAAAACAAGAAATATAAAATATCTCAACTTCCAGTTGTATTTTAAAATAAATTATAATTTATATTTTGCCCATTATTGCATACAACTAAACAAGTGATGGGAATTGTTTAAATATCATTAATAATTATTAATTTGAAAATTGTGTTTTTTTATAGTGGAGCAACTTTGTATTAAACATAATTTTTATTTTATTTCTAGCTTTAAAAAATATTTTCTAACTTGTTTAATATTTTTTTATATGAACGCCTAAATTTATTTAATAAGTTCGGTTGATATGGATTTTTCTTTCACTATTATAGCGTATGATAACATAATGTCTTAAAGTTAATGATACTTTTTTGAAAACTAAATGCAATGTTTTCCCACAATTTGTATAGTATTATATAATTAATTTTTGATTAAAAATATGTTGTTTTCTACAATGTCTATTGCAATGTAAATAAATAACAAACACCTTTATGAATCGTATACTTTTATGTTTTAACGGACGTTTATGCATTTTAGTGTAAAAAAGTAACACAAAAAAATCATAACGATTTCTCTACAAAACGTATTAGTCTATAATTATCCAAACTTTAAAAACAGTAGGTATACTTAAAAAAAAAGAGGAATAATGCTAATAAAACATTTATGGGGTCAGTAGCAATAATGTATTTATGAAATTAAATTACATTGTCCTTGAATTTAAAATTATTTTTCGTTGAGCCTCTGACTCAAATTTCTATAACATCTACCTCATAGCCTATGAGTCATAGGTGCGATTGGTGGTATTTTTTTTTTACTGTTTGTATTAAATTTTTTTAGATATCATGTTGACTTTTGATACCATTTTTTTTTTGTTAATATGTTTTAACTAACAAGCATGCAAGGAAGAACTCTACATTACATACGTTATAGCGAATACTTGTTCTGTGTTTGTTCTGATTTCGACTTAATATTATAGATGTAATAATTACAAATGTAATATTTAATAATGTTATACCTTATGTATAAAGTAAAACACAACTATATTAATGTATTAATAATAATATATTATATTAATAATAATATCTATATAATAATAATCTATATTAATATTCTTAATAATCTTATATCTATATTAATAATAATATTCGCAGATGTTTATTACGAAACTCAAATAACAGGAATGATGGTTGTGCCGGTGTAGCACTCGCGTATGGTGAACAATCCCACCATATATTTATATTAATTGCTGATACGTAACATCTCTTTCTTTTTGTTTTTTATATTTAAAATAATATCAAAAATAATATACTTAACACTAATTACATTTTATATATTATATAGATACATAATACAAATTATTACAAAAACAATATCAAATTACAGTAACAATATTTCATGCAAAAAATAATAATTATGTGTAGTAAATATGTTTTTATAATATGCAAAAATAATACAGTAACATACTTATTTATAATCACAAGGAGAAAAGCGCCGATTAGGTTTTTTAATCCTAACGGGTCTAGGAGATTTTTGTGTTGTGGTATTTATTGGTACAGTGGAATAAGAGTTTGTTTGGTCAACACTAGGCGTGTCTGAATAATTAGAAGCAGGAGATAACCCATTTTCTTTTTGACCATGTGGCCATATCTGATCATTGTGCCTTATCCATTCAGAACCATCATTTAAAATTACATTATTAGTACTATGACTTATATTATCAGTAATTGTACCCTTCAGCCAATTTTCACCTGTTTTTCTGTAATCTTTAACTAACACACCATCCCCCTTTTCTAAATTTAAGTCTCTTTCACCCTAGTTTTTTATTTGGGTTACTTGATTATTAATAACTACTTCGTTGGTGTTTGATATTAATAAATCAAATAGTGTTCGTGTCGAATGACCTAACATGAATTTAGCGGGAGGTTCGCGTGCTGCCAAATTGGTGAATTTCTATACATCAGCAAACATTTTGTTAGATGAATTAATGAAGTAGAACATTTTTTAAAAAATTGTTTTTGGCTGAACTGATATCAAAAGCGCGCGTATAATAAGTAAACATAGCTGGTTAATGAGGTAACAGCTTGGTTTTAAAATGTTATTATTAAAACCAATTTACATTTTCATAAAACACTTATTCATTTACTCACTTATTCACACATTTATGGGGATTGGGAATATAACTTACAAATAGTGTAAAAATACAATAACTAATTATTCATCATGCTGTAGTCTTTCTTATGTATACACTATACAGTATATAACTACTGCTAAATGATATATAATGTGTTTGTTTTTAAGTTTAAATTTGAAAATTTACTATAAATTATAGTATTAATTACAATAGTCACCAGTCACCACTCACAAGTTATGGATATTAACATAATTCGTTTTTAGTAAAAATACCGTATTATACAACCGAAAAATAAAATACCGTATTCTTACGCCACTGCCTATATGGCAAGAATGAAGTTCCGTTAAAATATAAATTCAAAATTTTTGAGGTTAGAGTTAGGTTGGTTGAACATAAATGTATATTATTTTTTCACAAAAAAAACTTTGTTAATAATTTATTTAATTTTAATTTTCAAACATTAAGTTGTTTATATTATGTTATACAAGTATTATTTTCACTCTTTTCAGATGGATATAAAAATGCAAAAATAGACTGATTCAAGTTAGCTTGACATAATCAAATATAACTCAACTCGGTTTGATGTTTAAAAAAATTGTTTTAACGCGATTCTACTCATACCAAGTTTATCCAGGCAATTTCTTTTACATTATTGAGCTAGATCGGTCCGGGCTGGGTAGAATCAGACAGAAAATATTTTTAAGTACTAACTTAACATTCTCCCACATCGATAAAAGTAGGAATTACAAACTAATTTGAAATGTATATTATTATACAGCTATTCGAATCTTTAAAAATAATCTATTCTAATCCAAATTACAGCCCCAAATTATTATGCTGTACATTCAGATTTCCTTATTATCTTATATGTCAATATAATAAAGGTTCAAACAAAAAACTTATTTTTCCCAAACAACAGAATAAAATCTATAAAATATTTTACTGTATTGTGTATACATAACAGTTTACATAAGTGTTTTTTTTTATTAATCGCTTTTGTAACTGCACATTATAGCACACTATATGATACGTCATAAAAAAAAATATGTACACAATACATTTAATATTTACGTTTATTTAAAAAAAGAAGCCGGCGCTTAAAATGTATGCCAACAGTTTTTAGTCATTTGTTTACATCTCAACAGTCATTGTGAAAAATACTGTATTTTGAGAAAACATATCGTTGGTTTTTGTACAACACAGATATTTGAACTGAAAATAGATATGCAAGTTAAATTACAATATGAATATGATAAGAAATAAGGGCCTTGCGTTCAGGGCAGATACCAGGGGAGATACTGTACTAAAAGCCCTTTTTTACTTACATCAAGTAGAACTATTCTATAAACGAATAGAGACAATGGTGGATGCTTGGGGAGGGGGGCTATTTGTGTTAAAGCTTTTCACTTACGACGTACTTGAATTGTATGACTTAAAAGTGTATTTTTATAGGCTATAATTTTTTTTTATATATAAAATATTAGAATATGTGTTGTTTAAAATTTGATAATTGTGTTAAACAAAGCATAAATAATTTTGTAGTGTTTTTATTATGGCAACTTTGTAACCTAAGTGTGATATTTTATTATGGTAAGAAGACAACTATAGTTACTGACATAATTTTTCACTGAAAACTAAATTGCTAATAAAAATAAATATCGCAAAAAAATATCGACTAGGGAATACAAGCAATTTTACACCAATTTTTTAGCCGTGTTTTAAAATCATAACATTTTGGAAACTATGTGATTCACACATAACATTCTCTTCCATAATAGGAGTACTTGTATTGTGATAAAAAAAATAAATTTATGTAATGCTGTTATAAAAATACATACACAATTCTAATGTATGCCTCTACTGAATATTTTTACATATTTGATTTAAAGATTATTTAATAACAATTATTATTTAAACGAGATGTTTGTACTAAACTCTATATAAACTTCTACACTATAGAACTAAATAAATAATGTTAAAGAAACAACATCTTGGAAAAGATGATAGGTAGTCAGCTAAAATAATTTTAAAAAAATTTATTTGTTTCAAATTGTAGGCAAAACTATTTATTATGAAGTGCATTATATATTTTTTTTATGTATTGTAAGTGCGGCATTAAAACATTATTTGAAGTATGATATGATCCTAAAAAGTATTAAAATGTACGATATCATTTTGTATATGATATAACTGGTCTATATCACCACGCCGTCACATAAGAAAGTGGTTCTGTTCGATGGGTATCGTTGATCTGAATTTGACGAATTACGCCACCAATATTTTTATATTTGCTGCTTTTTTCAGTTTGGCCTATTGTTGAAGTTACGATACATGTCTCGCGTTCAATATTATAAGAAGTTATAAATGATCCAGGGTCTAGTACACTTCTGAGTAATCCTAATGAGCGACACAAATTGTCATCCATAATTCTATCTTAAAAAAATTTAATAAAATTGCAATTTTATAAATAATGATAAAATAAAAGTTTTTATAATCTACACGTTATGTAATAAAAATATTTACTTGATAGATTTTCTATCATTATAGGTATTACAGTCTGCATAGCAATATTAACTATGTTTCTCCTTTGAGCTCCAAGACCTGGCAATAAAGTCATATCTGGAACTAATAAATAACCGTATTGTTAACAGAGAAGAAAATATAAATTAAAAATAAATTAGATACTTGGGATGTAAATACATTTCTAAGAACTGTATTTTTTCAATTTTTTAACGGTAAGTATTGCGACTCAATAATCTTGTACCGTGTTAACATTTGCATTAGTAATCAAAATTTGGTTGATAAGAATCGAATGGCCTTAAGCCGTGACAAGTTATGGATTATACAAGATTTATCAGTCAAGTTTTTGTTTGTAAGTATAAGATTTACAATGTTTATTATTTAATGACATAAATATCAAAGAAAACTAATGAAATTGTACATTTTAATTTAAAAAAAAAAAGCTATAATTTCTTATATCTTAAGATACTCAATGCTTCTTAAGTTTTACTGTAAATTAATTAAAGTTTTAATGTTAATTTAAATAAATCCAAACATTTTGATTGACAAACTTATACACTTAACATGTACAGATCTTGCCGGTCATCTTCCTTCAATAATAATTCTACGTCCTTTAAAATTTTTAAGTTCTGTTTGGGAAGTATAATTGACGATCATGGAAAAACCAAAAACCAATGTAAAAACCTTTTTTCTATATGGGAAGGAACATTTTCCTCATATCCCATGTAAAGGCAATTTTTTTGTGAATGTTCTCATAAATATAGGAAAGTAAAGAAAAAAGGGAATATTACACTTTGCCTTATTAAACAAATACAAAATTAATTATAATAGTTACCTTCGTTAAATATAGGTGGCTCAGGAATAGCTGTTAGAAAAACAATACGGTTTATAAAACCCCGTTTTTATATTTTATCTATAACAGTCACTTTAAAATTGAGATTGCGAAGATTTAACTAAACAACTAAAAACTAAATTTAGAAGCCGCTTTTAAATTATAGATATAATTGAATTTTATTTGGAAGACTTTCGGATATATCTACGTCAATAGTTACAGGCCGACGTTTAGGTTTCATTGCAGAGTCTACCTTCAGGGCGATAAAAAAAGGATATATTAATCCACAAAAGCTTTAACGCATTCATAACTGTATTTTTGACATTCAAAATGAAATGATTCCAAACTTGAAGCAAAAAATAAATTCTTCATTACTATTTCAACTTATACAATATTTATCATTTTTATTTGTAACTTGTTAATATTAACAGTATTGAATATTTACTCATGTGAGTCGATAACTGGTTTCGAATTTCAAACTCTCGATCGAAGGATTCTTAAATTTAAAATAAAATATTATATAAATACATAATTATTTACGGTATATAATTATATGACTCAAAGTATTATAATTATTATAAATATGAAATATATAAAGGTGATTACGCTGTAATCGACGGGCTGCTTTGTCTGAAATCAAAAAAGAAAGTATTATACACTTATGGAATGAGAAAATACGTCTATAAAATTTAGGAAATAATATTACCTGGTACAGCAAACATATAGGATAATTCTCCTGAAGTAAAGTATAATATGGATTATTAAATAAAATAGGATTTTAATTGCTATCCTATTATACATTAAAAGATGGAGGTGGAAAATACACGTTGCTTTATTAGGTATATTGAATTGAGTGGACACTATGATACTAAAATAACTGAATTCAAGTAAATGTACCGAGTAGAACAAAATGTAATGGTGAGGTTAGGTTGAATAAGATGACATCTGTGTTGTTTATTTTAAAGATTCTATTTTGATTGTTAAGTATAAGTTATGATTTATAACACAGAAAAATTTACTTAAAAACAACATTTTTTTTGTAATTCTTAAATCACTTTTAAATGTTTTATTCCTAAAATTAGCAAGTTCATCTTTATTTTCTCTTTATTTTATAATTACAGAGATTACCAATCGTTTGTTCTCCACGAACAAATTCTTCAATTAAATTAGCCCTAGTTTCTGGAACAAACAAATAATTTTTTGAGCTATAGTAAAAGACATATTTCTTAATAATTTTAAGATGCTTATATCCCTATAAGGTTATATAGTCACCGCATATTATACAATGAAGTGACTCGTCCTTCCAACCTTATTTTTCTATATGTAAATTATGAAAATTATTTGTTTCAGTGTTATAAACTTTCAGGTATTTATAAACAAGCACCTTTTACGCTCTTAATATGAATAGTTTAAAGAAATTATAATTTTTTATTTATAATTTACTTAATATTCGGGGGAACATAACAAAATAGTTTTATATATAATATACATATCATACCTCTTGGACATAGTAGGAAGATATAGTCTGTAATACATTATTAACACATATATAAAAATATGTATTTTAACACTAAATATAAATGTTGTATGTAGAAATTGTTACTAACTAGTAAATCTAACTTCATACGTAAAGGAATCAGCGTAAACAGTACAGTCAACTGTAAAAAAATTTGTTTTAGTTGTTTTTTTTATAATTATTTATCTAATTAAAGGTACCAGGAGGCACGTAAAAAATAGAAATAATTACCTGCAGAAATTTGCAAAATACTGACAAGGGTAAGTGTTAAAAAAAAATAGTAACATTTCGTTTTTATCTGCAAACAATTAAAAGCATAAAAATATTTTATATAAAACACTGTTGCCAATTAAAATTTATGTAGCTCCAATGCGGAATTATAAAGAATTTGTTAATAAGAGTACTTTGATGTGTTTCCACATATATTTTAAAATTAAGTACCATTTAAGTACAGTAAAACCCTAGAAAATATCATCAATTTTTTTTTTGTATATGAGGTGGAAGTTTTTTCATTTGTTTGTTTTTTATTGTATATCTGAAAGTGCTGTACATCATAAAATATTCTACATAATACTAAAGATAATTTGACTAGGTATAGTTTATTGAGTGTAATTACCATGATTAAAGTTGTATAATGTTCCTTCAGTGATTGATATTCTTGCGAATTTTCGATGAAACTGCGTATTGACCGAAACAATAATACCTATCTAAATAAATTTTTCAACATGGAAAAAGAATTGTACATGATTACAAATTATCATAGTTTTGTAGTGAATTTTTTATTAAATTTTATTTTCTTTATTGTGTTTGCCGTCTTTGCTAAAATGTATGTTCGCATCATAAAATTTTAAATGGTTTACTTCTTTAAATCGCTACAGGTGTTGTAAACAATTCTGTTTTTTTTTCTTTAGTTTAATGTGCCAAATATGTTGTTATGAATTATTAAAACATTTTTTTTCATTTTAGCTAACTTGCTTAGTTACAAAGACATACGCGCTTTACTAAAATATATGAAGTTGTTTTTTATATGCTTCATTAACTATTTTTGATTTATAAGTCCTAGCTACGCATATAAAGCTATTAAGTTTCAAACTCTATTGTGTTAGCATTTTCAAGAAATGACAAGTATTTAAAAAAAAAAAACTTTTAATAATTAATTTATTAAGACTAAACCTAATTTAATAATATTAATGCAAACTTTTATTATTTGCCTATTAAATGTATAATAATATAAAACAATAACAATTTTTTCATTGAGAAACCCTCAAAAATCAAATAACATGATAACTTATACATTTAATGTGTAAAAGTAAATATAATGTATATTTATTCGAAAACTAGTTATTGACCAGTTTTATAACATTATTCTACATTTAATAGTTAAATCGAATACACATATTTTTCACAAAAATTAAAAATCACGAGTACCTACGAGCTTTGAACGAATCACTGAGAACTGAACAATCCAGATAGTTAACTAGGTATGATTTTTGTACGTGTTGGACTAATATTACACCTTTACTTATATTATCACGAATGTGTATAATGAATATATTTTGTGCACAACAACAGTCTAAGTAATCACAAATGGTATGTTCCAGTTTTATTTCGACTACCACCCCACCTCCTCATCACCACCGACCGTATCAGATTACCGTGCCGTGCTGCTTCAACAACTGCCTCCGTACCGATTGTTTTTTATTACGAACCCGTTTGTTTCTTCTTCTTTTTGCAGCACCGTTTGTTTTTTTGATTTTTTTTAACATTATGTTTTGCTCCAACTCCACTCTTATATTTAACCAACATTTAATGTAATTTCACATACAGTGTGAAAATGAGCAATAGCTAATTTTAGCTAGTTAATAAGTTTTCAATAAATATATAAGTTCTCACAGTTTCTAAAGTTGTTATTCTTTTGGAAAAAATTAAATTATAAAAATGGCAATGTATTGTCTTATGTTGTAAAATGACATAATACTTCTCCGAAAATAGGAAAAATTACTTAATTGTAAAATATTAAATAGAAAATGAGTATCTTATTCTTGAAGAACCACCAACAGTAGAAGAAAACTCCTCACGTTAAATATAGTGATATTCAAAACTAAAAAGTTATAGTAGATGATGTATTAAAACGAGTATCATGCGATATATGTATATATAGGAGAACCAGAAAGGGTTAAAATTAAATTAAAGAAATGCCTTTAATATTTAAAAATTTTTTGTAACATCATCACGAAACATTTGAAATATAAATTTTAATTCTCGTTACAAATGTTGTTGTTAATTACTTAAATTCGATTTTTATTCGTCATCGATCTTAGCGTCGATGCAGAGAAGAGATCCTATTGGTTTTGCAATGATGTGGGCTTTTTTTTTTCTGTATACACTGTAAATTTTTTAATACTGGACCAAGTAGATAGATAAAGTTAGAACTTTTACTGGCTAAAATTTCAGTAACATTATAGTGTTGGCTGGCCACTGCCGCGATTTCGTGTGATAAGTTTCTTCCCTTGTGAGTAATCTTTATCAGTTCCGGGCTGCACGGCCGCGTGCGTCCATATTGTGGCCACAGATATGTATGTAGTAAACTAGATTGCTAACTAGCGATAAGAATTGAAGCCGACGGTCCGCCATTCTGTCGCGATTTATGTGTGTTATCAATGCATATAATATATATTATTATATCAATATTACATATGTATGTGATTGTAAAAAACATATTAGCATCAAATCGTTTATTTAAAAGTGATTTTATCCAAAAGGAATAGTACAGTAGGGCCGAGGCATAATATAATCAAAACATAGAGAAAACGGAGAGGTCACAGGTCAACTTTAATTATTTCTTACTGTGCTGGTTTATACTGTGGTTTGGACTGAATTGAAAATACTGATTCGCTTTCAGTTTAAATAATTCCTCTAAACCTGTGACCTTCCCATCCCCAATATGCCTTGACCTATCCATGCTCCGTCCCCACTATGCCCCGACCCCACTGCACTGGATTTTTATAGATAGGGTTTCAAATTTGAATAATTACTTAACGACAAATACTTAATGTTGGGAGTCTTCTAGATGTGGTGCTGATTGAAACTTAAAAAACAATAAATATCAAGTTATTATAACAGTATGTATTTTTATTATGTAGACTTCTTAACTGATGAGCGGACGGATCCTGTTATATCTCTTTAATTAACCATTAAACGTTTTTAGCTAGTTACTTATAGAAATAAATGGCAGTTAAAAAAAACCTACGACTACCCTGTGATAACTATTTATTTTTCTATTAAAAGTAGGAACACATAGCTAATAAATATTTTGAATTATTTTTCATAGTTGATCATAATTATAAGAATTCGAATATCGAACATTTTTTTATAGTTTGTAACAATTTTTAAAATCAATGAGGTTTATTTTTATGTTATTCTGCGTAATGTCACTCTACAAACAAGTAAGTATATTATGTTGGTTTGTACAAGTGTGAAAAAAAATTTGTTTTTTAAACAAATTCAGTTTGGTTGGCTGTGTTTGACCGAATTTTTGTACTGTAGCACTGTATATTTACATAAGTTATTGCGAATAACTATTTTGTATACTCGTATTTGACCATCGTTGAACTGTTAAGAATGATTTTATTTGATATTATACCTCTCACGACATATTGTAACTGCATTGCAATTTGCGTTTAATGCATAATTACTATAGGTTAAGATTAGAAAATACGAGATCAAGAAGAGAAAGGTGAGGGTTTAGTACGTAGTTGTGTTGATAAAGACCGTGGAGAGTGAGTCTTTCAGGAATGGAGGTATATTCAGAAATTGACTGGGAGAGGAAACACAGGCCATATGTATCATAAGACTATGAAATAAATGGTAAATTATAATCACCAGTGAATATAAGGTTATGGTTTGGGTATTTTTGAACGATGAAGTCGACTGTGTTTAGGTGAGCAACATAAAGATCAATGGATGAAGAGGGTGGTATGTATACACTACATATGATAAAACGTAAGGAATTAAGAGAGAAGCGAACAAATAGGTGCTCAACATTATTATTAGGAATGATAAGGGGAAAAGAAGCAAAGTCTTTGCGCACAGTGATTAGCACGCCACCACCGCGAGTGCAAGAGCTAGTGAGAGGAGATCTGTCATATCTGAATGTATGGTAATTTAAGAGACTAAGCTCAAAATAGTTAAAATTACTAAAGAGCCAAGTTTCCGCGAGAGGAATAAATACATAATTAAAACAAGAGGTATTACAATTAAAAGTTATAAGTTTAGTCCGAAGACCCCGACAATTCTGATAATATCCATTGAGGTTGAAATAGAGAGACGAATCGGTTAAACTTATATAACCTAAAGACTTGTATACCTATCATCATTACTAAATAAACAATCAAAGACTTATCTTTTATAGTTCATGAGCGTCTTTAAAAATTGAACACAAACTTGCTGTTCCGTTTCTATATAAACCATATTACAACATTATTACCATTACTTGCAACGGTGTCCACATATTGTCTAATTAATCTTGTATTAGGCACTTGTTGTGTTTCATACTCATTTAAATGAGTTAACAAAGTTAATATTAAGAGCATATCAAGTATAGAAGTTCAGAACAATCAGTTTTTTTATTTAGACACATAATCCAAAAAAAAAAAAAGGAAACCATTAAATTTAAAAAATATTATTACTAGACGCCTAAGATGAACTACTACTTCCCCGAGATCCCATTTCATAATCGATAAATATTAAAAATCGCCGTTGAATTGAATCTATGTTCAATGTAATCAAAATTGGATATGACAATAGTATTAAAAAAGTTATTGAAGTACAAAATATACAAATACCCTAATACGGCATATAGTTTAGCATTGGCGTGTTTTTGTTTTTTCGAGTCTGTTTAAACAAGTTTAATAGAAAACGTTATTAAAGCTCGAGCTGTTACTATGATATACGCAGACACATAGCTCATAAGCTAATTGTATTAGAAATCGACATTTAGTATTATTCATGGTGTATAGTAGGAATAATTGAAGATGTGTTTTTATAGTGAATAAACAGCATACATAATACTGTGTAAAACAATGCATAATGTTTTTGGCAATAATTACACACATATGTATAAAAGTTTTCCCACAACACAGTACATATAATGATTTTATAGGCAGCACCTTAAAATTTGTAAAAATGTTTGTATTGTTCAAAAATACTCTCCATCCCCCCTATGCCCCAATTTTACTCTACTGGCTTTTTTAGGCGTGAATCATTATAACACATTTTGGTATCTTCATAGTATTAGCTACTCGCGCTAAGTTATTGTTTTTGAGTTAAATATTCAGTAGTTTCTTATATGTTATTATTTGTTTTTAAGAACTTGTTATTGTCAAAAACAATGAGTATTTTTTAGCGTATTGTATTTTGTTGCTTGTGTAGGTACCTATTCAGATGTTTGAACTATTTTCTTGCACGTAAAACCCCTATGTTTCAACAATTATAGAGAATAACTATTTTTCTTTATTAACCTTCAATATAATACCATTATATATAGTATATGAACATTTTATAACATACCTATTTTCTTAACAGCTATATATTAAAGAACGAAGACAAATTAGAATAATTCATTAAGATATCAGAAAATATGAACACAACGATAAAAGATGTGCTAACGATAACAAAACATAAATAAGCGAAAAAACAATTAATTATAGGTTTTCACATACAATTTGTGTTTGTAGAAATGTAGTATTACCATGCAAGTAAAATCAAACGTTCATTTAAAATACAAATAGTTTTTACAAAACAGAAATTTTAAATAGAATAATTATTATCTATGTTAGTTGCATATGTTAATATATATCTTTGTTAACAACAGTAATAAATAAAATCATTTAAAAAAATAACTAATGATTCCAGTCTTAATAACAATCCTCTCAGAGTACTTCTTTGGAATACTAACGGCTTACACCAACTCAAAGACGAACTCTAAACTATATTTAAAACTTTTTGGCATAACAAAATAACGACAACAATAAAATCATAACTAAAATACAACTCTAATAAGACTAATAATTGAGGTTTTACCACTGGGTGACTTCCTTTAACGTTACTAACGGTATGTAATATAAAATGTCAAAAAAAAAAACTTATTTGTTTATTTTGTACAGACGTTTTTTTCTAATAAAAAAAAAAATCTTTAAACAATTCTAAAAAATTTGTCTTCAATAATTAAACAAATGCTCTAATTAATGTTTCGGCGAATGTAAAAAATTAATTTTAAAATTTGTATTTAATACATATTAAAAATTACGAACCCAACGAATACTTTTTTTTAGAAATATTGAAAAAATAATAATTAATTAAGGGCACATAATGATATTGCTTGAAAATCTGTAACCACCCGGTACCCCTAATCATATATGCTGATTGCTTTATATATCCAGCCATGGATGACGCTAATATATAAAATTGTTGTATCAATTATAAACCAATAATAATTGTATATTTTAACTATTCCATACAACTATTATAGTGTTTTCCCGAAAGTTGAAAAAATGTCATATTGATAAATTTTATTTTAGTTATTAACTTTTCAATAAATACAAATTCAAAAAAAAGAACTAATGCATCAACAAATACTGATTTTTAAAAGTAAGAATTACAAACTAATTCGAAATGTATATTATTATACAACTATTCGAATCTTAAAAAATAATGTATTTTAATCCGAATTACAGCCCCAAATTATTGTGTTCATACATTCAGATTCTCTTATTATCTTATATGTCAATATAATATAGGTTCAAACAAAAAACTTATTTTTCCCAAACAACAGAATAAAATCTATAATATATTTTTCAACCAAATAATATTTTATTTGACTAGTATGTTGTTTAAATTAAACAACTGTTTAACAACAAATTCTATATAGTAATCTCCCATAATAGAAGTACTTGTATTGTTATTAAAAAAACATTTATGTAATGCTGTAATAAAAATACATAAACAATTCTAATGTATGCCTCTACTGAACATTTTTACCTATTAGATTTAAAGATTATTTAAAAACAATTATTATTAAAAAGAGATGTTTGTACTAAACTCTATATAATCTACTACACTATATAACTAAATAAATAATGTAAAAAAAACACAAATCGGAAAAGATGATAGGTAGTCAACTAAAATAATTTTTAAAAATCACATTTATTTCAAATTGTAAGCCAAACTATTTATTATGAAGTGCATTTTATATTTTTTTTATATATTGTATGTAAGTGCGGTATTAAAACATTATTTGAAGTATTATAATATGATACTAAAAAGTATTCAAATATACGATATCGTTTTGTATATGATCATAAGCAATATATAAATCGTACATTTTACTGGTCTGTATCACCGCAACTGATCATAAGAAAATAGTTCTGTTCGATTGGTAACACCGATCTGAACTTGACAAAGCACGCCATCAATATATTTGAATTTGCTACTGTTTGGAGGGTTGCTTGCACTTGAAATTATGATACATGTCTCGCACTGGATACGAAAAGAAGTTATATATGATTCTGGGTCTAGTACACTTCTGAGTAATCCTAACGAGCGACACAATTGTTCATCCATAGTTTTTTTTTCTTTAAAATATAAAAAAAAAATTCAATAATTATTTTTTAAAAAAATTTTGTTTTTATTACATTACATATCATATTTCTTAGAAAGTTAAAACTTTATTTAAAAAAAAATTGCAATATTATAATTAATGTTAAAATAAAAGTTTTTATAAATTACACTTTATGTAATATAAATATTTACTTAATAGTTTTCTTATTGCAACCCGCATAGCATATCTATCCAGAACTCTTCTTTCAGCTCCAAGACCTGATAATAAAGAAATATCTGCAACTAATAAATAACCGTATTGTTAACAAAATAAAAAAATATAAGTTAAAAATAAAGTAGATACTTGGGATGTAAATACATTTCTAACAACTGTATTTTTTTTCAATTTTTCAACCATAAGTATTGGAACTCAATAATGTTGTGCCGTGTTAACATTTGCATTAGTAATCAAAATTTGGTTGATAAGAATCGAATGGCCTTAAGCCGTGATAAGTTATGGATCATACAAGATTTATCAGTCAAGTTTTTGTTTGTAAGTATAAGATTTACAATGTTTTATTATTTTATGGCATAAATATCAAAGAAAACGAATGAAATTGTATATTTTAATTTAAATAAAACTGCTATGATATCCTAAAGGTACTTAATACTTCTTAAGTTCTACTATAAATCTTTAAAAGTTTTAATGTTGATTTAAATAAATCCAAACATTTTGTATTGACAAGCTTATACGCTTAACATGTACAGATCTTGCCGGTCATCTTCCTTCAATAATAATTCTACGTCCTTTAAAATTTTTAAGTTTTGGGATTATTTAGTTCGTGTTCTGTTTGGGAAGTATAATTGACAATCAAGGTTAAACAAAAAACAAATATTAAAAACCTTCTTGCTTTATGGGAAGGAACATTTTCCTTATATCCCATGTAAAGGCAATTTTTTTGTGAAATTTCTCATAAATATAGGAAAGTAAAGAAAAAAGGGAATATTACACTTTGGCCATATTTAATACAAAATTAATTACAAAAGTTACCTTCGTCAAATACAGGCTCAGGAATAGCTGTAAAAAAATTAATACGGTTTATAAAACCCCGTTTTTATAGTCTATCTATAATAGTCACTTTAAAATTAAGATTGCGAAGATTTAACTAAACAAAAAAAAAAACTAAATTTAGAAGCCGCTTTTAAATTATAGATATAAATTGTATTTTATTTGGGTGATTTTAGGATTTATCCACGTTAATAGTTACAGGCCCACGTTTCGGACTCATTGCAGAGTCCATCTTCAGGGCGATAAAAAAATGATATAGCAATCCACGAAAGCTTTAACGCATACACAAATGTACTTTAGACAGTCAAACTATAATGATTCCAAAATTGAAGCAAAACATAACAACTCAATTCTTCATTTTTTTGAACTTATACAATATTTATCATTTTTATTTGTAATTAGTTAATATTAACAATATTGAATACTTACTCGATATATTAGATAACTCATTTCGAATTTCAACCTCACGATCAATGGATTCTTTAATTTAAAAAAAAAAAACATAAATAAATTATTTTTTATGGTAAAAATGTATACGATTCAAAGTATTATAATTAATATAAATATGAAATATATAAAGGTGATTACGCTGTAAATTAGTATCTGCTTTGTCTGAAATCAAAAAGAAAGTATTCTATACTTATGAAATGTGAAAATACGTCTATAAAATTTAGGAAATAATATTTACCTGGTACAGCAAACATATAAGATAGTTCTCCTGAAATTAAAATAAAATATGGATTATTAAATAAAATGGGATTTTAATTGCTATCCTATTATACATTAGTAGATGGGGGTGGAAACCATATGTTGCTTTATTAGGTATATTGAATAGAGCGGTCACTATGATACTAAAATAACTGAATTCAAGTAAATGTATGAGTAGAATAAAATGCAATGGTGAGGTTAGGTTGAATAAGATGACATCTGTGTTGTTTATTATAAAGATTCTATTTTGATTGTTGAGTATAAGTTATGATTTATAACACAGAAAAATTTACATAAAAACAAAATTTTCTTTATGATTCATAAATCACTTAAATTTATTTTATTCTTAAATAAGCAATTTCATCTTTATTTTCACTATATTTTATAATAATTGTGATTACTCATCGGCAGTTGTTGTCTACGAACAAATACATCAATTAAAACGGCCAAAGTTTCTGGAAACAACAAATAATTGTTTGAGCTATAGTAAAAGACATAATTCGTAATGCTTATTTCCCTATAAGGTTTAATAGTCACTGCATATTATACAATGAAGTGACTGGTCCTTCCAACCTTATTTTTCTTTATGTAAATTATAAAAATTATTTGTTTCAGTGTTATAAACTTTCAGGTATTTATAAACAAGCACCTTTTACGCTCTTAATATAAATAGTTTAAAGAAATTTTAATTTTTTATTTATAATTTACTTAATATTCGGGGGAACATAACAAAATAGTTTTATATATAATACATTTCATACCTCCTGAACAATGTTGGAAGGCATAGTCTGTAATAAATTATTATCACATATATAAAAATATGTATGGTAACAGTAAATATAAATGTTGTATGTAGAAAATTGTTACTAACTAGTAAATCTAACATCTATCACATATGGATGATTGTGAACAGAACAGTCAACTGCAAAATATGTTGTTTTGGTTGTTTTTTTTTATTATTATTTATCTAATCAAAGGCACGAGGTACGTGTAAAAAAGAAATAATTACCTGCTGAAAATGTCAATAAACTGACAAGGGTAAGTGATAAAAAAAAATAGTAACATTTCGTTTTCATCTGCAAACAATTAAATGCATAAAAATATTTTATATTAGACACTGTTACCAATTAAAGTTCATGTAGCTCCAATGCGGATGTATGAAGGTTTTGTTATTAAGAGTACTATGATATGTTTTCCATTTTTATTGTTTTTGTATTCTCTTTTATGATGAGCATACAAATATAATATTTAAATGTTTCGTGGGGCAAAGGTCTGATAGGTTTAGTTAACGACTAGAAATGTGGTGGCCTGTGACAGCAATGCACATTAAAAAAAGCTATAGGACCACTGGTGGTGGAAAATGTTAGGGAAATATGCATATACATTTTTAATTATATGCTAGTAGAAAGGAAAATGTCAGTAGAGTAGAGGGAGATATGTGGTACCTATATTAAAAGGCAGGGGAGATATTACGGGGATCTAGAAACTTAAGTTAACTTAACTCAAGAATTAGAAGTGGGATTCCTATATCTAAATACCAGTTTGGGTTTATTTATGTGTAAAGTTTTTTTGATTTATTGAGTCTGTAACTAAATATTTTTTAAACACTGGAACAATACTTTCATGTCATAAAAGTACGAAGATCTCTTAAAGGGTATTTCAAAATGCCAACTTAAAAAAAAATTTAAAAAAAAATTACATCCGAAAAAACACAAAAAGTGTCGTTCTTTTAAGCATAGAATAACATCACGAAATAACTTTTGCTTAATAAAAAGGTTATTTTCAAACTTTTGTGTGTTATGTTACTGAAATTTAAGATAAGTAATGTATTTTAATATTTAGTATTATTTAAGTACAGTAAAACCCTAGAAAATATCATCAAGTTTTTTTTTTGTATATGAGGTGGAAACTATTCATTTGTTAGTTTTTTTTTGTATACCTGAATGTGCTGTATATAATAAAATATTTTACATATTGCTAAAGATAAATAGACTAGGTATAGTTTATTAAGCGTAATTACCATAATTGAAGTTGTATAGTGTATCACTGTGAACTGAACAATCCGGATGGTTATCTAGGTATGATACATTTTTGTACGTTTTGGACTAATACTTATATTATGAGGAATGTGTATAATGAATATTTTTTGTGTACAACAACAGTCTTAAGTAATCACAAACGGTATGTTTGAGTTATATTTCGACTACCACTCCACCTCCTCATCACCATCTATGACCACCACCACCACCGACCGTATCGGATTACCGTGCCGTGCCGCTTCAACAACTGCCTCTGTACCAATTGTTTTTGTTTTCTACGCACCATTTGTTTCTTTTTTTGCCGCATCGTTTGTTTTTGGATTTTATTGAACATGAACATCATATTTTCCTCCATCTCCACTCTTATATTGAACCACATTTTAATGCAATTCCACATGCATTGTGTAAATGAGCAATAGCTAATTTAAGCTAATAAACTATGATATCCCCTACAAGAATTAACTGCTATCTTCATATGGTTTTATTGTTAATGGCTTCTATCTAAAAGGAAAAATACTATAATTACAATGAAATGTAACTCATTTTACAGCTAAAGCATTGTACATTTGTATGATGTTAGAAAAAAAAAATTTTTTTTATATTTTTCAGAAATAATAAGGACTTAGAAAAACGAATTTCTTGTTCTATAAAACATCATGAAAGTTACAAATATGTAAATCAAATTGTAATGATATGTAATTATATACATGTAAAACATTTTTTTTTTTAGAATTTGAAACGTTTTGAAAAAAAAATTGTTTAGAATAATTTGAAAAAAAAATTTTGGGTTTAAAAACATTTTGAAAAAAAAAAAATTTAAAAAAAGGATATGTCTTGTTGTTGCCCCAGGTCTTCAATTGTAACTTTAGTAGTAGTAGTAGTGTAGGCTGGTCCATATTGTACCATAATTTTCTGGATGCAATATTTTTTTGCTTTGATGCGGAGCAGAGATTCTATTGGTTTTACATTGATGTGGGCTTTTTTTTTGTTAATAATACTTCTTCACAGTTAAAATTTGAAAAAACAAAAAAACACCATACGAGGTTTAATGTTTGAACTTTAAATGGCTATATCTTCGAGAAAAAGAGTCTGATCGAGTTGACATTTATAAGAAATATTTATATGGTATGCCCCAGCACGTCAGTAGTAGTAGATTTAAATTATACCCTTTTTCTAATCCCTTTATGGGTGCAAGTTTTTATAATTTTTGGATTTTTAAGCCGTAGTTTTAAGACCTTTTAGTTATAAAATATATACGTTACCATTTAAGTTTCAAAAGTTGCTGCCAAAAAAAACCAAGTTGGGAGAAATTGTAAAAATTGAGATTACATTGTCTAAGAAAAATATGAAAAAACAAATTTTTATTTCTTATTAAACCCTATGAGATATTTGGTGGTTCATGATTAATGGATCACTCTGTATTCAAAGATTGTGATACCTATAGGAATAACCTTTTATTTACATTACAAGAGTCGCTGAGAATAACAGCTTAGTTTTGATAAAAAAAACAATAGTACAATATTGGATTACAATATGGCATACGAAGAATCTTCGTATTTTGCAAAAACAAATTTTATAGTTTTTTACTTATTTTTTCATCGAAAACGACTTGTTTTTCTTAACATATTTCGTTTTTCAGCTGTTTTTGTATTTAAATGGTTGACCTATTTTATTTCTTTTGCGGTAGAAGTCTCGATGTTTCAATAGTTATAGCAAATACCCCGATATGTCTAATTATTATTATTTTACGTATTACACTTAAAATGCATTTTTGGATAAAATATTTTTTTTGCAGAAATGCTAACAATTCTTTTTGCTAAAAGCTTCTAAAGGCTTTTTTTTGGGGGGAGTAAGGTAAAAATTGAAAAAGTTTACTTCTTCATAGTAAACTATGAAGTTTTTAAGTTAGAAATTTTACTGGCTATAATTTCGAGAAAAACTGTTGGATCGAGTTAAAATCTATAAGGAATATTTATTTGGTATGCCCCAGCACGTCAGTAGTCATAAATTTAAACTATTTAACCCCCTATGGATCGCAAATTTTTAAATTTTTTTGGTTTTTAAGCCGAAGTTTAAAGACCTTTTAGTTGAAAATTTGTCAGTAGTTAGAACTCATATTATGTATTCATATATATAAAACGAATAAAAATTCGGGATTACAGTTTTTCTTTAATTGCCGAAAACTTTGTTTTTTTACAGATTTCGTAACAAAAACACCTTAAACAAATTTTATCAAATTATTACAAAAAATTTATGTAGATATCTATTCAAAATGATTCTATTAAGTTTTGTAAATCGAGTACCAGTTTTAGATATTAATTACATATTTTTTGTTTTACTTAAGTTTCTTTTGGCTGAGTAAAATTAAAAACTGATATTAAATTCGAAATTACCGACTCCAAAAACATATAATTTGTCCACTTTTTAAGTCTTTTACATAAAAATCCAGAAAACATTTTTAGCTTCGATGCGGAGCAGAGATGGTATTGGTTTTACAATGATGTGGACTTAAAAAACATTATAGATGTGGATGGGCGCCGCCGCCGCAACTTTTAGTGATAAGTGTCTTCCCCTTCTCAGTAATCATTATCAGTGTCCATATAGTGGCGGACGCGACAAAACCGAGCAAGACAATGGCTGCCGCGCCGGTAGTTTTCATGTCTCGTCAAGCTAGTATCTAAGGTGGTTAGTATATTAAAACATATCAAGTTTCTGGCTAATATTTTAGTGTTTTCATAATATCTGGCCTAAAACAATTCATAGGGAATATGATCTGTTAAATTATTGAATTTATTTTTTAGTTATAGTTTGATCGTTGTAAGTAAAATATATACACGTATAACTATAGCCATCAATACTCAAGTGCCTATAGAATCGAAATTTAAAACCACCCCCATCCACAACCGCATCCCCATCACCATCCTCACTCCTACCACCATTCCTATTCACACCTACGTCCCGATTCCTACTCCCATCCCCATCCCCCTACCCATTCCATCACCATCCCCATCCCAAACTTCATCCCCATCCATCGTCTATAATCTCTTATCTTTAATATATTATCTCTTATCAGTAACATTATTTACTACAAAATGCCAGCTTTTTCGTGACTACCACTTTTTAACACTTTTTTCGGCTATGTGCTAGAGCAAAGACATGAAAATGTCAAAAACTTAGCAGTTTGAAAAGGTTAGATTTTTGTAATGCACAGCACAGGATTCTTTTACAAATATATATTTTTTACAATACTATCTATGACTCATAATATAAAACTAAATAACTACAAAATAACAAATGGTGAATATCCATAAATTCGAAGTTATAGGTGTTGTAAATTTAAAATGCATAAAAAGATGTATTTTAAATGTTGTAATATTAACTTTGATAAATACAAAATTTCAAAACCTACGCAGCTTGAAAACTAACTGAATAGACTATCTTTGCAAATCAAACGTTTTTGATAAAAATCTGACTCATACAAATAAAAATACAATGTTTACAACAACAACTACAATTTAATATTAATGAATAACAATATGAAATTGTATTTAAATTATTATATTTGGAATTATGTTAAATTTTGTTATTTTCTTAATAGGAATCTTATAAAATGTTAATATAATATAGGACCACACCTAGTTTACACTGTGAACAATTTACAAAATTTAAGTTCTAGTAATATACATAAAAAACGAAACAAAGAAAAATGACTTCCTTTTTTGGTTATTTTGGGAAAGTTTCTTTTTTGTTCCAAGCTCTTAATAATATTGGAACCATTAACATACATATAAGTATATATAAAAACAAAGTCAAAAGAACTTCTTTTCTAAATCAAAATTAATTTTACAATTATTATAAAATTTGAAAACATTTTAAGCTATTTTATTATTTGTCATGAATTATTATGTGGTATTGCAATACAATAACACATGTTTGAATTAAATTCAAACTTAATGATTTTTTCACAAGTCATATAATTTATTTGAATGAATTTTATATAAATTTGGAGTTGATTCGACTATTTTTTTGAAAAAAAATATGGAGCGCCGTATTTCTAAGATGGAAAATCTATAAAATGTTTGTTATTTTTCTTAATTTTGAAGTGTAAAAAAATGAAAGTTTAAATTTTTTATCTAATATAGAACCTTTGAGGTACGATATCTGATCTATAGAATATCGGCCTGAAGTGATCGATTCAGTGGTTTAAAAGTTATACAATAGATTTACCTTCGGTCTATAATGTAGATCATTATTATTCTAGTTAAAACTTCTGTTTGTAATTATTATTTATGTTTTAAATGAACGTTTGAATTTGCTTGTATGGTAATACCATATTTCTACAAATAAAATTTTTTTATTGAAGTGTTCATATTTTCTGATATCATTATAAAAAAATAGTATTTTTATAAAATTTACATATAATCAAAATAAATTTAAGTGGATAAAGTGATAAATGGAGTAATAAAGTAGATTTTTAATATACTTATCATATGAAAATTTTATATTTTGATGTTTTTTTTATCATAGATTTTTTTAAACTATGCCTCTACGTATATTATAATAACAACTCGAGCGTTAGTCACGTTTTCTATTAAACTTGTTTAAACAGACACAAATAAAACATAACGATGCAAAGTTATTAGGGTATCTGTATATTTTGTAATTAAATACTTTTATAATGTATTGATAAATATAACGCTCATTTGTAAAAACTAGTTTATAGTTTAAATCCTATTACCATATCTTATATTAATTCCATATATTTAAATGAACGGTGATTTTTAATATTTATTGCTTGTGAAATAGGATCTCAGAAAAGTAGTAAATAGTCTCGGGCGTCTAGAAATAAAATTTCGAAAATTTAATGGTTTCCTTTTTTATTGGACTATATAACTAAATAAGAAAAATAACTTCTCTAAATTTCTATACTTGATATCCTTTTACATGCTTTTCTAAGATTTTAGAAATTGCACAGATTTGATACTTTCCTCGCATGTCCAGAAATACAGCTATTATTAGCCATTAAACTTTATTATTGTGTACTTTTCAATATTAAGTACAACTTACCATAACACAACAAGTGAC